TGTTAAATTTCTGTGAAAATTCATTTATTTCATCCTAGCCAATATGTATGAAAGAGTTTACAAACACAATTACAACCTTAACATTGAAATGAACCCAACAAAATTATGTAGTAAATCAATGTAGTTATAGGCTTTATTTTTAATTTCTTTTGAACATAAATAAAATATAATTATACATTGAATTAGCTATGAATTTATACTAACAAGGGATCTCTAAATTAAATTTAAATTATCACAACGTCTTAGTGTGTTTACAATATACGAAGCCAGGACTTGCGAGCAATGAACTCATACTGCGTACAAAATGGCGTACTGGTTGATGGGTTGACTGACGTGTGTTTGTAGAAATCAATCGATTAGTAAACACCTTAGCTTGTATGTGACTTTATAGGATGGAAAAATTTACCCAAACTGAATTTCGATTTACGCTATAACATATATTGTAGGGTATAATCAAAGCTGGTGCTAGCTTTTGTTTCTGTATTAAGTCGTATTGTAACTCTCATTCACTTATCCTTTATGGTGATTACTTATTATAGCATACGTTTCCTACAACACCTCTAATTGGTATAAGTACAGTGAATCCGTGTATAAAACCATAAAAATTAATATGAATGTCTGAAAACATAAATTTGATTGTCACATCACGTTTTCGTCGGTCGTCCTTGTGAATTTCGTATCTTTAACACTTCCGTTCTAACTGTCATAAGTGACAGTGTCAACAGATCGGCTTTTTGATTGCTACCTTCACCCTTGAATATAGAATATAATATATTAAACGTGCTAATAACGATATGATATATCATATAAAGAGATATAATAAAAATAATAATCATATTCCTCAATAAATATGTATTTATTGCAATCTATCAGACTTCAATATTTAGAAAATATTTGTGAAAATAAAGGGGATCTTTGTATTTTTTACCACGTCCCGTTTTATTGATTTCATTCTTGATAAAATAATTAAAATCTCCGGTTCGAAAAACAATTTTCCGTTTGTTATAAATAACCAATCAAATATTTTAAGACAAATTTACTAACTCTATATGAATTCCATTCTAAATCGTATTAATCGTTTCCATAGTTAAATATCAATTTATTATAATGATAACAAAATTATTACGCAACAATTAACTTTTACGTTTTCTTGTAATAACGGTATTCGGTGTGGTTACAAGGAAATGTCGCGTTGAACTGAACATTGGTATTTTGAAATCCGTCCATACTTCTCATATAATAAATGACGTGCAAAAAAATATATAAATAAAATTTAGTAAAACAAAGAGAAAGATTACTTCATCAAACAATCTAAATCACATGACTTAGTGAATCATAAGCGAGTATTTAAGATCTGATAGTGTCAACTGTCCGCGGGGCGGTACTAGCTAATTAAACATGTATTCAGTATTAACACTGTCATGTATATATTTTTAACACAATTACGAAATTACAGCGATTATTATGTTTTATTTGCTTACGACTTCGTAAAATTAGGGTAACTGCAATCATAAAAACATTTTTATCTAGTGCAAATATGTCTTTTTAATTCGTCATCCCAAATTAAAGTAGAGATTCAGAATAAATTTGGTTAACATTGGATTGGACATTTTCTTAAATTTGTCAACATTGGATTGCATTAACATTGTGGATGAGATAAAGAATTCCACTGGGGGAGGAAGATTATATTGAAAAACTTTACTTGGAAAATGGAAAATATAATTTTTCACTTATTTCTCTCTTTATAATTATCATCGGGACTATTTAACTATAAAACATCTTTTAAATTACAACAAAAACTATATTAGTAATATAAAAAATTAACCACCTCTATCATAACACTACTGCGTAATACTTTTTCTATACAATATTTTTTATTTTCATTCCATTGCCTAAGAATGGTTTTAACACTTATATATTAATAACAATATGTAATATTTTCTTTAACATGTTTTTAATATCGATAAATATGATTATATATTATTGCTCTCTATTTTATAAGAGTCATAGCAATCCTTGCATTCAGACGGAACGTAAATATAATATGAACATAATGTACTTTGGGACTTAAAACTATAGCTAGTTTTTACCTATTACTTATACAACCTATTGGGTCTAGACTAAATAATAATTACTAAGTACTAATCCTATTTGTATAGCAAGCGATGATACAAATGCTAAAGACGTAATAAGTTTGATTAAAGTTTTATACAATAACAGCTGGAGTAAACAGAATTATACGTATAAAAAGTAAAATAAAGACTTAATTTTATAGACTTTACAGTGACTCAACCGTGTCAAGCTAGTTCTAATGATGGTAAATACAAAACATTATAAAAAATAAAGACGAAAACATTCACAAACAGTATAATCTTTAATATTCTTGACGTACTGAAAAGTGGAATTTAATCTGTGTTTTGTATGTGACGTAGTTCATAGAAACGATGGGATCCTGAAAACAAAAGACTTCTATACTGATTCTTATGAAGTCTTTACAGTCCGATTCATATAGGTAGTTTCGAACTAATTCTTAACCAAACACACTTACATATACTTTCGATATTGTTGTTTAGAAGCGAATATTTTTTATATATTACTATTTTTTGTCCGCGACTTCGTCTGCGTTAGTTTCAGAGTTAGAAATGTATAACTGACCGGGCGAATTCTATTTCTCCTTAAAGACAGTAGATTTTTTTTCTTTTGCAATCGGATGAAAAGTATCCTATGTCCTTTCCCTTGTTCTAAGCTATCTCTCCACCAATTGTCATCCAAACCCGTATAGCCGTTCCTGAGTTATAAATAGTGTAACTAACACGACTTTTTTTATAAAGATTGTGTAAGTAGTTAAAAAAATTCGCCAAGCTGCTTATCAAATAGTAATTATAAAATACGTTGGTCCAATTCTATTCGAGTGTTTCCGATATTAGGTCAATTATTTAAATATATCATTCAACATTGATGGAGCAAAGTGATCTCAATTACGCCTCGCCTCACCGCTTAACACCTGACCCCATAACATGATATCCTCGCGCCATCAACTTCTGCGTCTTTGAATACACTTTGTCATCGTTTATTGTTTATACCACTGTATATACGATTACAGAAATGTGATTCCCTGATAGAAGCTGAATTTAATATCGTCTCCACCGATGGTATGCGATTTTTATTAAGTTTTCCACTCAGCATCAGTATCTGAGAAAAGAAATTTTATTTATTCAATCAATTGTAGTATATTTTTTACAATATTAAGAAATTCAATCAAACCTAGTCTATAAATAGCTATTTGTTGACTTTTATCTCTTATTTGATATTATACTCAGCTTTAGCACTAATTAAATTTGGCTTCAAATTTTTACATATCTCATATGTACCTACTATTGGTTTTAAAATTTCCACAATAAAGTACAATTCTGAAACATAAGGAGTTATAAAAACCTAAATTGTAATTTTGGGAAACGGAAATTTTTAGGGGATTTTTTTTAACATATTCAACCTCGCAAAGTAGGTATGTTTGTATCGAAAAAATATTAATTAATAACTATTTACCTTATAAATAATCTTAGACTGTTATCGAAGTGCAATATATTTTTTGTGTATCAGATTGTATGAATGAAAATAAACATAAGATAATTAATTTTAAGAAATCAATTTTGTTGATATTTTTTTATGTTAAAGTTCAATGATAAAAGGTTTTATTTACTTTTTGTATTGTTATATATCATTTATAGATAAATTTTTATATCGAATGTATTTTAATCTACGTGCTGTTTGCTTTTTTTTTCCACTGCTACTTCTTAGGTCAAATTATGATGAGACAGTATAAAAGCTTTAAGTATTTAATCGATGATAGTCGCATATACAATCTTCTTCTTCTACCTGGCAATTTCCCAGCTTTAGCCAGGGTCTGCCTTACATGTTGTGAATAGTTTTGGCTAATTGTTTTGACGACCGGCCGCCTGCCTGACATCAACCCTCTTTGGAAATGTATTAATTATACTCTTAGAAAGTACATATGACTCGGAAAAATCACTTTGGTACTTGCCAGGATCGAACCCGCGCCCTCATGCATAAGAGGCGGGCTGTTTAACCACTAGGCCACTACTGACTTACTCATATACAATATTATAGGTAATAATGACCGTTTAATATAGTTATGTAAAATTTTAATCGATAATAACTGAAACCCAACACTAGATTATATTTATTTACCAATAGTCAAAACTTGTGACGGTCCTTAGTTTATTAATCTTAAAAAATATTTAATTCGTATTAATTTCAATACTTTATTTTTGTGCTACCCTGCAAATTGTCATACTAAGACTGAAATTTTCCTATTATCAACATAATTATTATTAATTAAAAACAATCAAGCATTGATTTACTTCATTAAATTCATCACACAAAACTTGAAAACTATAATACATTGAGAAAACAAAATTGATTTACAATGAAAAAGTGTTCCAGCTTCTATAAATACATATATATTTTAAGATAAGAAAGAATTTAAAGAGATTATATGTGTATATAAACAGTATTGGTGATAAAAATTTTATATCATTTAATTAATTTATCGGATCAATAAAGTGTGTGAGGGAAAGACAAGCTAACAATAATTTCACGCGACATGAAAAATACTTTTTTTTGAATGAAAATAAAAAAAAAACGCTTTGGTGTTAAATTCTACGAAGTACCTGAAAAGGAAACGGTGTTAAAGGCTCATAAGATGTAATGACATTAAATTTAAATATTTATGCAACATAGACAATGGTTGGTGTTTACAAAACATTACGGGTCATCCGACTTTGTATGCTTTATTGTTTCACTAGAATTTTACTTTTATTCAGCAAAACACATTGCCGTCTTCCAGCATTTTTACATTTTTATTCAAGTTATTGTTTATTTAAATAGGATTATTTTGTATCCTAATTTAATACCAACTAAAAGTTTTCTTAATCTCTTCCTTTATGGTAATTCTAACTTAAAAATTATTAATATTTCAGAGGCTAATCGTATGTGGGCCAGCGCGTCGTTTGTTGGCGTCCTTATCATCATAGGCTTGCCATTATGGTGGAAGACCACTGAAGTGTACAGGTATGAAATGAAATAGAAAATATGATATAATATTAGTTTGGGAGTATTCACTAGGAAAAAAATATTATATAATAATTTTCTCCGTTCAAGAACAGGCCTTTGGTCAGCAGTGGTCTTCGATAGGATGTAGTCCTTGGAGATTTTGCATAGTAAATTCTTTTGTAACGCGATCTCCAGCAGTCTTTTTCGTCCCTCAAGCTAAATCTCAACTTAGAAATCTCTCGAAAGCTTTATATGAAGATGAACACTTTCCATTTTTTTCTGAATAAGCTGGAATGATTTTATTTTAATGGATTTTACTATAATAATTGATTGTGTAAGATAAAAACTAATAATTAAAAGATCTTAGAAAAGGCAGTTTTATCCACAGATAAGAGGAAATAGACTTAATAAATAGATATTAATAAAATGTAAAAAAAAAGTTTTAATAATTTATTACGCAAATATTAATGGACGATAAGGAAACCTAGTGAACTAACTGTTTAAGATATAAAAAAGTATTATATATTTTATTTAGTTTAAATTAATATCAAACACTGTTTAGATGTAATGATTTATTTTTACTATACTTTTATCGTCACAAAATATCCTTATAGGAGACAATATTATTGTAACAGTTCTAAAACTACACAACAATATGCTTAGTAATAGTCTCATGGCTACAAAACATTAAACGTTTTCATTTTCTCATTTATGAAGTAACTTTATTAGTTACTAGTTTTTGTTCGCGACTTCGTCTGCGTTACTTTCGGATTAAGTAATATACATATGTATAGCTGACCCGGCGAACTCTATTCCGCTGTAAACAACCAAATGTAGGAAATTATTAAGATTTTTTTTTCGATCGAACAGGATTAAATACCCTATATCCGTCTCCTGGTTCTAAGCTATCTCCCCCCCAAATTGTCAACCAAATAATAGCCGTTCTTAAGTTATAAATAGTGTAACTAACACAAGTTTTATATACAAATATAGATTACTATAACAAACGAATATTTATGAATGAAATACTGTTGACTTACCGTAAATAGTAATACAATGAAAACTCTAAGTAAACATATATGAATGTGTAAAGTAAATACGTATGGTTGATAATTAATTGTTACGACGTTCATTAACTAGGTATAAGGTATCTAAAACACTAATGTTATATCAATGCAAAAACCATTGTGCTTTTTTTAACATTCAACAATATTATTTTTTCATTAAATATTTACGTTACAGTAGGTATATATCAATAATAAAGACTTGATATATTATTATAAATGTTATGCAATATTTTGAAATATATATACAACTAGCTTTCCGCCAGCAGCTTCGTCCGCGTGGTGATCGGTTATATCGCGTTTCCAAGAGAACCTTTCAAAAGTCTGAGATAAAAACTATCCTATGTTCTTTTTCAAGGTCAACTCTATGTCTGTACCAAATTAAAATCGGTTCAATGGTTTAGGCGTGAAAGCTTAACAGACAGATTTAATCGAAGTACATATATTAAGTTTGTAGACTTTAACATTTATATTTTGAACCAGGGTGGCTCTTCCGTACGATGAGATTAACGCCTTCGATACTGATTCCCACTTCATCACAACGGAGCTGGTAGTACTAGCCAATGATGAGAAGACTGCGGCTAAAATCGCTGAGGATATTGCAAAGGCTTTCGAACAGACAGGTGAGTCAGGAAAAGATTAGAACTGTATGGAATAAATACCATATCAGGTTAGATTAGAGCATAACCTTTTAAGATTAGTATCTATCCTATTGATTTAAAGAAAAAATAATGAAACTACATATATTATTATGTAAATTATAGACCATAGAATTCAAGAATAACTTGTACTGGACTGACAAGTAATGTGTGACTTGCATTTTACAAAATTATATATCTTTGTTAAGTGACTGGTTGATGTTACGAGGTTTTTGTAAAAAAGGACCATTTGCATCTTCTCTGTCATATAAAAATGAATCTTATTCTAGATATAATAAAACTGAAGATCAGACATCAGAAGTTATCGGACAATCTTCATCAGACCCTGGACATGGTTGCTGATGAACAGGAGGCTCTAGAAGAGGTTGCAGCGGCTGTTGACGTGACGAAACACAACACCTTCCACGTGGTACAAAGAAGACACCTCTTCCAAGATGTATGGATAGGAGGAGACAGGGTAGCATTCTTCAGGGACTTAAAAGGTTCGTTGCTAACCAAAATTGATCTCTTTTAATGAACAATTAAAGTCTATTTTAGGTAAAATATTAATAATTTATAAACAGACATTTAAAATGCATCGAGTCTCGTAACCTACTTGTAACGATACCGCCGTCTGTCGCCGGCATTGTTCTTAATTCCCAACAATCGTAATACCCACAAGATTGTACATTCTTTTAGATTAAATATAACCGTATTATTGGTACACAAAAGAAATAAACTTTATAAGAAAATTACATTAATATATTTAATTCTTCAGTAGGATACAAAACGAAACGTAATTTAATCTTTAGAGACAAATATATATGAAAATATTCTTCACTATTGCTTATTCTTTAAAAATTAATGACATTTTTTTGTGACAAGAAACTATCTCTTTTTAAATTGTAGAACTTGCTTTTTTAACTTTAATCATTTGTAAATTGTTCTTGTCATTTTCTAGAAATTCAATAAATTGTGGTCCTAATTACCTACAAGGAAATTTAAGGAACTCGTTTATTTTATATCGCCTTTATTATTCCGCTAAAAAAAATATTTTGCAATCTCATTACTTATAACTTGTATTTAAATTTTGTCATTCTTTTACACTACAAGATACCAGAGCGAGTTATATTGCGTTACAAATTTTCTAACAGCATTCGTAACGTAAAGATCAAAATATTCAAGCTTATGTTATATTCCTTAAAATTAATTGAACACTATCCAAAAGAAAATGACCATCACAAATAATTATAATTGTTTCTATATAAGACGCTCTAAACATTCTGCCACAGTTTAAAATTAATTTTTCCACAAAATTCACACTTCCATACTGTCTTAATTCTTCGAGTCTCGTCAGATTATTTGGTTTAGAATCAATGAAATCTCTGGAACAATATAAGGGATTATATTAGGGCTAGGGTGAGTTCTTAAACACAATACACTCTATATAACTAAGTATTTCCATCCCAGCATCATCAACATTAATCCGGGCGCTGTCATCGTGGGTTCTACAACCATTATTGTTGGAGGGCGCTCGTTCGTTAGCTGCTGATGATGCACGCCGCGTGCGGCTCCCTAGTGAGCAACACCTGGACCTGCTAATGACTGTGGTGCACCCACGACCTCAAAACATGAAGGTTGTGTTCGACGCTCCAGCTGTTCTAGAAGGTAGGTTACAAACAGTTCAACAAAAATAAATCTTAACTTTTAAAGCATTTACGTAAGATACAATATTCATAAGCAATATACTCATTAAATATTAAATCTTTCGATAGAATTAAAACAAAATATTTTGTTTTATGTAGATATAAATTCAGCTAAAATACGTATGATATTAAGACTCTTTGAAAATACAGTCATTTAATATGATTTATTGAACAAAACATTTTGTTATGTATACTCTTACAGATTACATCGGTTCATTTGTGGATGAGTTGTCATATCTACACAATTTCACACTCAAGTCACAATGGCTGCATCTCACGGAGTTCGACTTCCAGGCGAAACAGGTTGAGTAAAAAAATATATATATTGATATACATCTCACATATAATTATAATCAGAAGAGCTTTGATCATTATTTTATTAACGCTGATATGAAAGTCATATATCGGTAGTGTTAGCAATAATCATATACAATTTAATTACAATTTATCGTATGATAATAATGATCTGGCTGTGGTAAATTTCGATCGTTGAATGACCGTTTAAACTTTAAATACCCGTTCTATACTCGAAAAACAACTTACTAGTGCTTCAGTTGTATGCAAATCGTAATTCCATAAAGTTCCTTTCGGGAAACAATCTCAGTAGTATCAAAATTCTTAGTCGAAATTCTTCTTTATATAGTTCAGTATAATATTCACCTATCACATTGGCGACATCTATATGGAAATGCCACAAACTAGAAAGAGAATTCCATATAGGTGGAAGTAACATGACTATTTATCAGTGTTGGTAAAGCCAGTAATTTCCAGGTGTTGGGTCCATCTGGCCCTGAGTGGTGGGTCAGTGTGGACCGTCTGCCGCTGCTCCTCACACAGCTGGACGGACGAGGGCTGGGAACTATTCGTCTTGCAGCATACATACTGCCGTGTGACGTCACACCGCTTGTATTACACGACAGAGGTGCGAAAACACATGGATTATGACAAATATTTAATATAAGCTTAAAATTCATTTAAATGTTAACATTTTCTCTATATTTACTATGTTAAATGCATGCACGAGGGCGCGGGTTCGATCCTGGCCCGGCAAGTACCAATGTGATTATTCCGAGTCATAAGTACTTTATAAGAGTATTTAGACACCACTGATTAATGCTGATTCCCAAAGAGGGTTGATGTCAGGTAGGCGGCCGGTCGTAAAAACTATTAGCCAAAACTATTCACAACATGTAAGGCAGACCTTGGCTAAAGCTGGAAAATTGCCAGGTAGAAGAAGAAGATTTACTATGTTAAAAAGTTTCCTGCACAATCAAATAGTTGTCTTCATACTTGTTTTATATGAATAGATTATCAATATGTGTATCTTTTGTTAAATTAATTTGTATTGCCTATGTAAGATATGAATGACATTATTTGATTTTGCTTAACTTAATTCAGTGACTGCATTGAGTGTGCAAATAACTGAATGGTATATAATGAAAAGGTATAGCTTATTAAGGATAAAGATATTGTAGGAAGTCGAATAGATGCCCCAGTACCAGCTTTTATGTCACCTAAATGGGGTGGTGTTGTATTACTGAACCCATCCCGCGAAGAATGCTCCAAGGGACAGTACGTGGTGCCCGTGAACATGTTAATGGGAACCTTCATCTCACAACTCAGGAAACTACTCGGCATCACTGATAAGGTAACTTCTATACTATATAATCTACTAACTTTCCGTCCGCAGCTTCCCCCGCGTGGAGTTCGGTTATATAGCGTTTCCAAGAGAACCTTTCAAAAGTCGTTGATAAAAACTATCCTATGTTCTTTCTCAAGGTCAACTCTATATCTGTACCAAATTTTATTCAAATCAGTTCAGTGGTCTAGGCGTGAAAGAGTAACAGACAGATAGACAGACAGATATAATATTAGTAGGGTATCCAATACAATAAGTTCAGAATTCCTTACATATAGAGTATAATATTGTGTCTATTGTAAAAGATATATGTATTTAAATGATTATGTTCTTCATATAGTCTATACAACATTAAGTTTTATTGTTATGTATTATATTATATATACTTAAACATAATGATTTCTGTTCTCAGGTCCCTATTCCAGAGGCGTACCTACTTCCTCTCGACTCCGTCTCTCCTCGTCATTGGGAATTGGATTCTCTCTTACGTCTGCGTACCCTGGAACAAGTCACCAGCGCGCAGAGGAGCTTGAAGTCTCTAGCCAAACTTCTGGGTTAGCATTTATTTTATTATATAGAACATTGAACAATAAGATAATACAGTCAAAAAGAAAGACAAGATGAAAATTCAATGATTGATTCATTGGTTCTATGTAACTATTAAAGTCGTCGAGCATTATACTAAGAGTTTATTTATATTTTAATATTCACTTACTTTTCTCAGTATTAGCCCACTTTTCCAGTGACGCTGTAAGCCGCAGTTCTAACAATAATTCTCCATATAAAGATATCTGATATTATTTATTATGATTCAGGTGAGATCCCGAATATCGTGATAACGGATAAAGTGGGAGGCTACATCCAATCAGCTGTTGAGCATGCGCATGAAGCCCGCGTATACTGTGAACTTGGGTCTTTAGTGGAGGCTCACGAAAACGCGCGCTCCGCCAACGACGCCGCTGAGACCGCCTTCACGGAACCCAGTCTATTGGCATTGTTGTACTTCCCCGACGATCAAAAGTTAGAGTCCATTATATTACAATTATTATTATATAAGAAATTATCTAATAAAAACTAATATTTTCCCATTACTACGCGTTGGTTTCGGTTACGTTTGCAGCAACAGTGATCACGGTTGCTATATAAGGAGAATGCAGTTTTAGAAATAATAAAATAACGCGTAGTAATCCGACAATATTAGTTTAATTTTAACGAACACTCGAGAAAGTTTTAGATCTCATTATCAGTAATTATGTATTAATCAGATTCGGTCATATCATTGCGTTAGATGCCTTTTATAAGAAGTCTTTTCAGTCTCTCTTGCGAGTATGAAATTCCTTATAAGTCCATAATTATTTTGAATTAAATTCAGTATATACATTTATTTCACCTATTTACCCTTATAAATAATGATTTCACGTATATATAATAACAATAAGAAACATGATGCTAACACAAACTATAAATTCATTACGTGTGAATTGACTTTATAGACATACTCAAGTTACTTAGATTGGGGTATTTAAATTATTTAAATATACATATTATTCTCAATAGAATATTATAATACACGATGACGTCGGTTACTTTTTAAATTTGTTCAAAGCTCATTAAAGTGTATAAATATGTGCCAATAATATAAATTACTTCTCTATAAACATTTTAATGAAAATTTTCATTAATCTCATCCCAGTGCATTCATATTTATAACATTATGAAAATTTTTTTGCTAAAACTTTTCGTACGGAACCGTATTTGTTGTGTTGTGAAATCTAATTAAGGGCATAAAATAACTTTATTCCTACAGAATTTGATTGGGTGCCAGACCTTCAAATAGTTAGACTATTTAAAGAATTGCTAAAATCATAATATGAACAATTAACAGAAAGTATAGTTTTATATCTACCATATATTTATTGTATATACTTTATTATTCAAGGTACTCAGTGGCTATGTGGCTATAACATTTATATATTAATATAAGTTTTACTATATATCAAAGTATAATCTATAAATTTTTAATTTTAATTTCAGATACGCGATTTACATACCTTTGTTCCTGCCTATTATGTTTCCCGTGATATTGTCGTTGAAAAATCTTATTCTGTGGTTTAAGGGGAAACCGGTTGTTAAGGAGAAGACTGATTAAAATACATCATAGAACAATGCTTGTCTTAAGTTTTATTATAAAAGTGGACTTTATTTCATACTAGCTGTGCCCGCGACTTCGTTCGCGTGGAATAGTGACTATGAGCAGCGTTTTTTTGACATAACTTTTTTATTTATGAACCGATTGACATGAAACAAACAATAAAACATAACTGAAGCATACTACAATATATTCGTGAAAACCGCATCCAACTCGGATCAGCCGTTTCTGAGATTAGCGTGAACAGACAAACAGACAAAAAAAAGTTAATTACATTTTTGGGTTTGACATCGACATAACAATAACCCCTGCTACTTTTTTTATTTTTATTTTCAATGTACAGACAGCACTTTTCTACAATCTATACTAATATTATAAAGCTGAAGAGTTTGTTTGTTTGTTTGTTTGAAAGCGCTAATCTCCGAAAGTACTGGTTCGAATTGAATAATTCTTTTTGTGTTGGATAGTCCAGTTATCGAGGAAGGCTGTGGGCTATATAACATCACGCTATGACCAATAGGAGCAAAGATATAGTGGTAAATGTGTAAAAAACGGGAGAAATTATTTCATCTTTGAAGCCTTCCGTTGCGTGCGCCGTGAAAACGGTTCAAAATACACAAAAAATATGTATTAAAGAATAATAGCTCTTTTAATGATCTAAAAAACAGTTCGTGACAGCATATGTCTATCTTTTAAGATTAACTCACAAAAACCGTTTTTACGGTACCTAATTTGGTCGAAATAATTTGTTTAAGTTATATCAACATAATAATATTAATCTTTATTCAAATAAACTATTCCGAAAACCCCGCAAGAACGGGAACTATGTGGGAAGAACCAAAAATCTGCCGGAAGTCACTATTCCATGCGGACGAAGTCGCGGCAAAAGCTAGTTTTATTATATGTATAGATTAAATAAACAAACTCAACCAAATATAAAAACGTCTTTATCCATAAAGACTGCTCATATTTTCTTTCAATGTGTATATAGTTGAACAATGTCAAGTTGTCATAGTACAAAAACTATTTATTTCCATTCCTCTGTATTGTTTGAGTTACCAAGTGTTGTTAGCAATATAAAACATTAAATTATGCAGATGTTGTTATTTTATATAAAAACTCCTAATAATGCTCAATTCTGATGACTTCTGGATTTTTTCTCATGATAATCTACTTCAATTTAAAGGTTTTTAAATACTTCAAGTCCCAAATTATAATATTATTAAGTCTTTTTCCAAGTTTGTAGTAGATATATGTTTTTCTAACATCTCTTTATATTAAAGCTGCTACAACCTATTTGAATTAATATAAGATTTAAATAAAAATCATTCTCGATTATTCCATACTCTTGATCTTTAAACAATGTTGTAATTTTGATTATTTTCTATTAAAAAAAAATTGTTTTCAAAAAAAAATTCAGACAGCAGAATTCCCACTAAAATAATTAGTATAGCATATGTTTTAAAGCACAAAACTGTGCCTTTACGGAGTTGAATTTGAGACATGTATTGTAGTATTAGGGTATAACAAAAAATAAACATTGTTTGCTTCACATAACATATATTGAGGTATTTGGTAATATTCAATTAAATATACTTTTATAATTAATTTATCTAAACATGGCAACACCAACACGACCAATATGTTTATATTGTAAAAATAAATTATTATAAAAAACAATTCATCTGTTGAATTATAAAAAAATTCTTCAAACTATTTCTTTATTCGATCAATAATGTGGCATAAATTAATATAGATTTATTATTGAGAATTATTTTTTAATTTTGTGGCATCGCCATAAGTGCGAAATATAACTAGAAGTGATTAATTTAACTACAATATCTAATTTATAACATTAATAAATACACTTGAAATTACATTTGATATGCAAGGATACATTTAGCAATTACGATACAGGAAAATGTGCTACAGACAACATTAATATAAGGAGAATATTTTTAATACATTAAAAGTATTTGATTATATGAACTACAAGTTTTAAATGTCTAACAATCATTAGAAATAAAATGTTTTAATTAAAGCTTTCATACTGATAATATACACCATAAAGATTGGCTAATATAGAGATTATATTGTATAATAATTAATAATGTATGTTATGCATACATATGTCATCAAAGTGTTTTTGAATTATAATTAAGTACAGTATTTGACTAGGATATCTATAATTAATATTATTCATAAATTTAAAGCACAATGCATATATATTAATAATAAAGCAGAAGAAATATGTTGAACATCAAGTACTAAGTATTTTTCACATGCCACATTATCCTATGATTATGTTTCAAGCCAATCTGTCTCAGTGACCATTGCTACGTTATACCCCTTGCCCGGCAAATATTCCATTTCCCACAGAGAGTTACTCAATACCAAAGTTTCCCCTTCAATTAGTTCTATATTAAGTGAAAAGCATACATCTTCACAAGGAGGTCTTGGTCTCAATTGTACATAAGTTTTGCCCTTCAATTGAGACATAATTATCAGTCCAATATCCAGTTCTAGATACTTGTACCGATGGGTATCATAATTGTTTGATAGCAAAAGCCAATTGAAATGTGACGGTGGGATGTGAGGCGATAAGAAGTATGGACGGGGAGCTAGTATTCTGAATGATTTTACAGCTCTGATATCACAATTCTGGAAATGAACAAACCAGCTCGGTATATCAGAGTTGATGATTCTAGTTACTACTTCCTCTAAGTCCATTGGTTGCTTGCCAATCCGGATATTGGTGAGGATTCTACAGGGCACTGAGTACCGGAGACGTGTGTCGTCACTGATTAGGCCTGTGAGGTTCAGCTCTGGAGACGACCAGTCCAAGTAAGAATCGGTGACGATGACTGGAGCACCTCGTGAAAGATGATGGTTGAAGACTTCGTTGTAGCTGGTGTCGGATACTCGAGCGATGTTTTCTAAGAACATTTTATTTTTTTATAACATTACTTACTTTAAAAATAATAAAAAAAATATTAGTTATTACTTACTTATAGCTTCACAAGTAATACAATCAGCAGGAGTGACGAGGTCATCATCGAGAGTTGAGGGCCGAGATCTTTCTATCAGGCATTTATTATAGTATAGCGGTGTCCAGTCCCAAATGGGTAGTATTTTTATCAATGTCATTCTTGCTAATGCTGTAGCGTGCCATTGGAAGGTGTCTGTTTGACTCACAGTATATCCAATGGCTATGATCATTACTAGAACAAGAAACACTCTTGTCCATCGCTTGATCGATGCCTTACGAACAGCGTTCGTTAAAGGGCGACAAATGATATCCATTTCTTCATCAGTTATTCCTGCTTCTTTGCAATACTCATAAAAGGAACGCACTTCTGAGTTTATTAATTCGTATTTTTCGCGCTGAGAAATTGTAGTTTCCATTTTATTACTCATTTTAACGTGACCCAAATCCACCTATTCCATACGATCAATATTCAACATCGGACACAGTGGTATCGATAACCATACAAATTTCGCGCGCGCGCGTGGTGGTCACTTAGTAGTACAGATAAAAAAAAACATCATATTTAACTTAAACTGTTAGCATTATAATTGCAAAGCCGTTGAATATATTAAAAATATTATAGTTAATATTTTTTTTAAATAAATAACAATATTTTAGTCCATCAAGTAATAATGAAAAATAGATTTCACCAAATAATAAAACCATCAGATTCAAATTAATTGTTTTACTATATATACTTTAAAAGTTATTTTTGTTACGTTCTGATTTAATAAAAGATTTTCTTTTGATTAATATATCTATTTTTTCTATAAATTATTATAACCTAAGTGTTTATTTTAATTTTGCAACACCAAATAATATTAAGAATTTTCCGCCATATTGAAAGTTCTCTAGTGGAAGTTGATCAATCATTAATCCTAATTATTATAATTCTATGTCGTGAATTACAAACGTTGGTAAAATCTTAAAACAATTTTGATATTATTTTAGAATTGCAAAATTTTGTAAAATAAAGAGTATTTAAAATTTTTGCAATACTTTTGACGAATACGTCACAGCGCCATGTTGTATTCCTGCGCTGATTGCAGGCACGAGAAATCTGCCAACCCGTTTATTTTTTGGGATTAGTGCCCGAGAATAAATCGAACTGCGATTTTGTACTCAAATATATTTAAAGTTATATTTGTTGGCAAATGTCAAATAGCTATACTGAAATCGATGCATGCCTGTTGTCGCATTTTGAGTGCTAACTCCTAATTTCAACTGCAGTTTAGTGCATCCGCGAAAGTTGAAAGGACTGTGTTGTAAAAGAAAGAAGTGATAATTAGCCAAAATTCCGGTCCCTACGCGCAGACGAGAAGGTGCCTACCCGCCAGGGCAGTCGGGCGAAGGAGATATGAACAACAAACGAAAAAATCGTCAAGGGCCGCCGAGGTAATGCTAGTTTCATGTCCATACATTTTCAGCGCTAAAGCATGACATGTCTTTGTTATTCAAGCCGTCGTGTCTCGATAGCAGATTTTTGAACATTTGTTTTGTTTGTAAGGTATTAAATTGTTAATCAGGAAGAAGTGTAAACAAAACTTAATAATTTTAGTTGCGAATTATTTGCGGCATTCGCTTCGGTGCGGCCGCGGTGTGCGCTGCGTACGCTTAGGTTTTGATGTTTGACCTACTTTTGTTGTATACTCATGACGATTAATATAACCGCGTGCGAACTACAGATCTCTAAGCTTGGAGACCATACCAGGATGTAGGTTTCAACTCTTTTATTCTTTTTGTGCCTCAAACTATACAGCTGTATTGGCTGTAAATAATGTAATCATGGAACTTTTGCAATACCTACATTGTAATGATCAATATTACGAAATAACACAATTCTAAAACAATTTTTATAATAATTATATTACCTATTAAGATATAATGATAATAGCTGGTATTTATCCAATCTCTTATTTAGTAATTTTTTCCTTCAAACATAATTAGTAAAGTAGCTTGACCAGTTAATTTCTCAGAAACATCAAAATATAAATGTTTATATTTAATGTTGTTTAAATTTTTAAATAAAGTTTTTTGAGTAATAGTATGTGTTATAAAAATATAAGCAATAATAATAGTTATTGCTTGTATTAACACTATGCGAAGGTTTTTATATATTTTCATGTATATTAAACACATAAGTCTTGGTTGTTTGCTGTCACACTGGCTGTTTTAGCCGCAAGTATCAAGTAGAAAGCTGGAATCCAGGTAACTCGGATGAAGATATATCTACATAACCTATATAGTGTTCAATTTTGGTATAAAAGATTATTGTATAACAATTGCTGCCCTTTTTATGAACAATATCTAGTTATTTTGGTTTGTTCTGTCAGATTGAGTGGTCATCTACACATTTAACATCCTTACATACATATTAATAATTAGAGCTCAGTAAATTTTTTGTTGATAATTTAAAATTATAACTCATGAATTTGTCCTAACAGTTTTGTATTGTAAGTAAAAGTAAATCGATATACAGTTTTTAAATTAATCTATACATTGCCTTTGCTTATGTGTTTATTTATTTATAAATTGTCATCAAATTATTTGTTCAGAATCAGATGTGATACAGTCAATCATCAACATCAGATTTGAGATAATAGAAATATGTGGAACGTGTTCTTGATGTCAAATGATTTGACAGAATTCTTTAATCATACAATACACAAGTGACTTTGAAAATGTTGATACAGTGGTGTTAATGAGATTGAAAAAATCTTATTTCTGCTTTGCTTAGTTTTAATGAACATTTACCTTAAAAACTGACTGATTCAGTACAATGATAGTAAAATTTTCTTTTATACACATTTAAATGAAACTTTAAACATCTTTAAATATTTTATATTTACATAATCCCAATGCTATGGTTCCTTTAAAGGAACCATGATCTTTGACAGACGAGATCCAGTATATTTTCGAACCATCAAATTTTTTTAAATATATGAACAAAAGGTGAAACAGTCAGATTTTAAATATGATGTGCATACATATTAAAACAATTTTAATCTATTTTTGTTTCTATTTTTTTGTTGTTGTACTGCTTGTGTTGTATTTTTATCAGGATTTTTAAATATGAATGCTTTAGTGACATCTAGTATAATTTTTTAGTATATTCCAGTAAAATTTCTTAAATTTTAAATCATATTATGCTAATGCATCTATGTCATTCATATCAACCATAGTATTTTAATGATGCCTTAGAATTATGCGAATACATTTGTGCATACAACAAAGTTTTATATGTATCTGTTTGCAGTAGATCTATAATATAAAACCGTTTAAAATGCCATCATTACATATATTATACATTTATTTATGATAATTCATCATGTATTGATAGTGTTCCATATTTGTAATTATTTTAAATACTTAGCTGTGCATGAAATTACTTTAAACCTTGCGAATAAAGATATATATAGTTAGTATATTGAGATTCATTTCACAATATATCTGTTTTTAAATGGCTCTTATATACAAGAATATTGTGTTATATAATGTATATAATAACATAAGGATGTCTTCTACACATGTCAAGTCGGAATTTTATTTATTATTTGTATAATAGTAGTGGCTGTGAAAAATTTTTAGCGCATTTTATTAATATTAGTCGCCGCGTCATCAAAAATTATACGTTGTTATTAGGATAAAAATGATTTAGAATGAAATTTTAAACGTAGGTAGATATCAATTAGCTAACCGGAAGTGTCGTAGTTAGATGTCCCCGGAAGCAGGATACCACGGTCGTTAGGATGTTGAGAAGCTGGTTTCTAATCATAAAAATACATTTAAGAAGAATTAAAGTTCCGCTTAACTAAGAAATTGTAATAAAGAAGAAATGCTTTCTTATAATTAAAAAAATTCTTTACTCTCGTTAATAACATTAAAGATGTTTGAAACACCTTGGATGAGAATTATTATATAATGAAAATATTAAACATTATTATATAAAAATGTAATAAAAAGTTCTGTTGTAACTTTTAGCTCATCGCGTTTTTTCAGGAACTTTGCGATGAAAACATATAATTTTATATCAACTTCGGTTGTACAAATGTAGGAAATGTACACAGAAAAGTAAAATCAAATAAAAATATTTTTGTAACGATTATGAATGCGCACTTATTAGTCTCATATTAACCCTGCATCGCAATAACCGATCAAGGTTGAGGATGTATGAGTACTGTCCTACATAATCCAGACGATGTCTTACTATCATGTTGAGTTTTATGTATGTATTTAAAAGTAATGGTTTTGATAATCCAACACGCTTATTCGTTGGTCATTCATAATAAATTTAAGTTATATGTAAGATATGTATTAGTATATTTATTTGTATTTAGTGTGTAATGTATTTATTTAAAAAAAAAGTCTACTTCAATTTTATAATAATATAAGTAGTTTGTTGATGTACCTACACTATAAATTTGTATTGCAAATGGTCTCCACTTTATTCAGGATTTCTGGAAGAGATCTCTTGATAGAGATAAGATATCCTTTGTAAACATATTGTTAACAATTTACTGTAAACTTTGGTACAAAAATAAATAAATAAATATAAGGTATGTATATGTAAGCATCCGTAAATGTATGACAAATGCAGCATTTTCCCTCTAAACCTGATGCAGATCGCCGCGCGGTCGTGTAGTAGCTGAGGGCGTATATAACAACGCGCACTTCATGCACGCGGCCACGTCCCACGTCGGAGACATCGTTCAGGTCCTCACCCAGAGCGGGTCACTCTGGGAAGGTGTCTTCAAGACGTTCAGCGCACAGTTTGAGGTAAGTTGCAATAGAATAGAATAGAAATCGGTTACGTAATACTAGCACTTGTAGCATCGTGAATAACAGAATTGATCGGCGTAAATGACGTCACACGAACCTCTTGTGACTATGTAATGAAAGAGCAGAGATGTGGATTCAAGAAGTCACAAGTGGAGTAAATTTTTATTAAATTTGATCATGTTTAAAATAATTATATAATTAAATGCTTCGGTTATCTACTGTTAATTAAAGCATTAAGGAAATAGTAGCTGATAGATTCATAGGTGAATTTGAAAGCTTAACTGTGAAAAACATACCGATACAGAATAACTAATCTTTTAAATATAATCAAGCACAAAGACTTATAGTTACCAAATCTAGTCGAATTAAATATCCTCTGTCAGAATTTGTAATCCCGAATACGTGTAGAACTTTCTCGGAGTAGTTTTACGTCGCTTAATACTAATAACATTATCTACTATTAGAATAATTTTCTTGCCATTATTCTAGCTAAAATGTTCTGGTGATAGAAATAATAAAAAATATAATCGTATTTTGTCCAAATCTGTTACCATCCCATGGCTAAAAATCTGTGAAGGAGGTTTATTTAGTATGCATCCCTATTTAGTTCATTGCATATGTTTGAAAAGACACTTTTAAAGCTATGTGTCTCACATTTAATCACTCCTTATCTTATCAGATACTTCCTATACAAAGGCCCCTTGTGATCACTTGTTCATTGTAATAAGGACAAGTATTTTAAGATCAAGACTTAAAAAAATATTTACAAATTTGTTGCGTGGTAAAGACATTGTAACGTCGCCGTCGTTTTAACATGAAACTTGGTACAATATTTTTATTCCTTTAGATTCTTATTGAACATAAATTAATGTATTTTTATCGAAATTGTAAGAGTAACAAGCGAAGAAAGTTCAAACGAAAATAAAAACGGCACTGGAATTAATTACAGATTTTCCAGCAAAACTTACTCGTCACAATATATCTTCACCTGTATTTAAAACTTGAAATAAACAATATCAATTTAATTTTTATTGGTTCAGAAATATTAATAAAAATAAACAAAAAGCTAGTTTGTATCTAAACTCCTTCGTACTCAGATAGCTGATGCAGCCTTAAACGTTAAACTCATCTCAGATTACCTATAGTGCATACCGCATACAGTAATAATGTTTGTTGTGTTAGTTGTCTATCCTTACTGCTTTATCGATCGATGAACCAAACTGTTCTCTATATTTACAATACTAAGTTTAACATTATTGTTACGTAAAATTTATAATTCATACTCATGAATTATTACCTGCTTCATTATATCAAGAGAAAAGTCCATATAAAAAATTGGTCACACATATACAACTCGAAATAATGTAATAAACGAAGATTGTGATTATAAATGTGGGTTATTTTAAATTGGTGCGGGCGAGGTTGCGGTATAGGTCTATATTTTAAAACGGCTATCATTTTAATCAGACCAAATGTCATTGTATCCCGGTTTCGGTGGTTGTCAGATATAGGTCATCTTATCTACTTTCATTCGCCGATAAGTCGGTTATGGTGTAGTGCTATATTTTAATCTAATTTTTATATTTGAAAATTTATTATAGAATAAAAAAATGCATGTTGATTTTTTTTTTGTTAGTAGTGTAACAATAGGATTTTTTTTATTTGTATTGTTTTACTTTATGTCGAGTCCGATTTGAAATTTTTCATCTTATTAATAAAATATTAAATGAATTTTACGACTCCTAATTACAATTCTGTGTAATGAAACGTATTTCTTTTTGTAGCTGAGTTTGCAAACTAAGTTGCTATTATTTTTTGGCCGCTGTATAAACTATAAAATATGTGCTTTCAATTATTTGTTCTCACTAATATGTGTGTGGAACGTAATCACAAAAAACTCTTAAACATTAAAATAGTTCGATAAAGTTAGACTGGAAACATTATCAACAAATGTTGTTTCTTATCAATAACAAGCAAGTTTATCGTCACAAGTATTTAATGTATGGAATTTTTTATACATAAAAAAAAAACACTTTAGAAAAATCAGAAACGTTTTACACGTTTCTGAGTTAAGAACAGTAATAAAAGCTTTCCCAAGTCTGGAAAAAAAAGAAATAAGAATAGTTTCCATACTAACAAAGAATCATACAAGGTTTCTTAGGAAGCTATATTTAACGCTGTGTTCGTTTGAAACAACAATAATTGATTTTCCACTCGAGGCAGACAAGGGCACTCTTCTACGGTCCTTAGCGAGAAGTAAAATTGGTCAATGGAGCTTATTTAAGTTCAAATAAAACTTATCCGTGGAATTGAAGTATCTACGTATTATCAAACAGCTATTGAGGGTTGGGTATAATAGATTTGACTCGGTAATTATTCGATGAGAACTGCTCTCGCGATGTAATAGTACTATTTATTTGAAGAAAACTTTTCAAATTAACCATGTTTTTATAAAATTCTACTAGTTTTGTAGCTCTACAGTTAATAAGGTCCTTGAGTTCGGGTTCATACCTCTATATAGTTCACCCGCAGTCATTTACAGTTAGTTTCTTTATGCCTTTCATTATTGCTACAAAAAGTAGAAGAAAACCTTCCAAGTTTCTATGAGTACAATTTCAATGAAATATTTAATTTATATTTGCAATTTTGTTTTGCATATTTCTTTATGATGTTGTTAATTTTTGTGAACTTTACCAAGTCTGAGACGCGAAGTCGCTGTTTGATTTAAATATAGCGTTCTATAATCGTGATATTAAATGTGTGAAATACTGAAATATAGTACAAAATATTTAACTACTTTTTTGTTATCTTCCACTTCTGGTGCGTCTTAAATAATAATTATCATGGGTATTAACAGATCGGAATGAAGTCATTAAATATATTTTCTAATTAAGTTTTTAAACGTTTATATACGATAAAACTGTAAAGTAATATAAATATCGGTGGTATTACTTCAAATTTATCTAATAATTATAAAAAATTTAAATGATATTTGATAGTTTTATAACGCTAACAGCTTGGTTGCTGACCTTCTATGATAACGGTTCAACATGCACACTAATGTATTATGTTCAATTTCAATAGATAATACCCTCGTATCATCCCGGAAGCTGCGTGTACTGTATACACACTGATTAATTGAATTCGGAAGGTGTTAAATGTGTTCTTAGTTTTGTGTAGTAAAATAGTAGTTTTTTGTTTTATTTAACTCCAAGTGTTCTCTCAATTTTGTGGAATTTTGTTTTTTATTTTATTTATTAGCAAATGCCGCGGGACAAAGATTTGGAATAGTTTTTTGAGGCAATTATATTGTGTGCCATTTTTTTAATATTTGGTACTACCTATGTTTATAATAGCGGTATGCGATGAGGACTCCCTCGTTTTGATGGACGTAATTCCTCCTTCCTTAAAATCGAAATTTTCAGGTGATTCAAGGGAACTTCGAATGCTCATTTGTGATACAAATTTACTATTCTTAAAAATTAAGACACATAATTACTATGACTATGACAAAGTCCAAACCAAACACCGATATTTTTCACCATTTTATGATTTTCTCTATTTTAGGCTTGGTATATGAGTATTTCTCTGACATTGTGTCGTGATATTTTATCAGAACATATTCTTCTTAAACATTAATTCTTTTCTAGTAATGAGTATCCATTTTTTAGTTTCCAGTGGTTGTAGTCTGTCTACAGTAATTACAGGAACAGGAGTACATGTGGCGTTTTCAGCGTAACTCATCAACTCGGTAATACAAGGATTGTTACTGAATTGTAGAACTTTATTCTCGTAGCATAGGAATTTTTCTTTAACAAACACTTTTCAGGCGTGACTTAATAATTTAGTGTTCAACTCTTTTGCTATAAGATATAGATTTTTTTTGAAACAATGATAACAGTGGAGTCAATGGATAACACATGCAAGGGAATCATTTTATTATCGCTATAAATGTCATTTTCAATTATAGTATTTTCTGAAAGATATGTAATATCGTCTTTTGAGATAAACTTTTATTGATATCGTCTGTTCTAATCTTACTAAGTTATTTAATATTTGGCTACAGACAAATTTTTCTAATTTATACTTCTATAGTATGTTAGAATTGGTTTTTAGTTGACTTGATATTACTAATGTACTAAATGCAAAAGTAATTTCTATTTTTCACCTAATTTTAAATGGATAGTTTGAAAAATATGAATTAACAAATTGTACGTGCTAATGAATTTGGGTTTCTATATGATAGAGAGTATTCATTTTAATCATTTCTAACAGATTATGCCTTAAACATTGAATATCTAAATTAATACTTTTATTATTCTTATTTAGTCAAAATGAAGAATTTGCTATATTATTAATAATGTCAGTGATCAACATTATTTTATTTTTATTATTGTTTTGTTCGTACTGAATTTCGCTTAATGATTTTTCCTATTTATAGCATCGTTATAACGTGATTTCCTGTAATAACTTTGATTATTTATCCTGAAAGAATTATTAAGCTGCGTTCCCACAGTTGGAGAAATCTGCTCAAATTTTACTATAGATAAATTTTTCATATAGTTTGCTTGAATTCTAACATCTACAAAGTTTTCAATAAAATTACTATCAAAATTTTCAAGTATTATCTTACTGGGTACATTTGTAAAGAAATATCTTTCAAACTTTCTATTATAGGTCTTATATCTAATGTCTTAACGACTGTCCACTGAACGCTGTTCACGATAGCATCGCCTCTTCTTAACGGTAGATCCAGAATTATCTTTCAGTTCCTGAAATTTAAAGGCCTGGGACCATATCACCGCGTTTAAAACCAGCAGTTTGTACCTTTGGAGGTCGTTTAACATTCGTTATTGGATTTTTTGTGTTGAGAACATTTGGCATTACAACAGGGACAGTATTTTTGGAAATCGCGTTAGTCAAGGAAAACTTGTTGTTTAGCAGATGGAGCAGTTCTCATGTCTACATCTGTAGTGTACGTTGGTTATTAAGGACGGTAACCAAAGGGTTGTTGACCTTGATTTTGATTAAATTGAGGTCGGTACCATATGACTTATGGTCATACTGAGGTCGATATCTAAATTGGCTTTAGTTTAATTCCATTTTTTTACTAGGAGGTATACCAAATTTAAATTTGGGAGGTTGCGAGGAATTTACGTTTTGAAAAGTATTCAGCTTTTGTGAAGATTGCTGCTGAAATGGAGGTTTAGACTGAAAAGTATATTTATTTTATTTAAAAGTATTAAAATAAGGTCTCATTATGTTTTTCTCAAGATATAGATTTGAGGATGTAGCTTGTACCGCATTTGAGTGAGGATGCTTCATAATTTCATTCCGAGAGTCATATTGATTCATGAAATTGACTTCCTCTAGTCTGATATACACTTAAAGCCTGTTTAAGTGAAGTGCGTACTTTTAATCGAACAGTTCTTAGTAAATCTTCAGGTAAATTAAATAAAAACACATAGCTAAATTGATCGTAAATGATTATTTTACTTTTACGAAAGCTGGACTTGGGTATTAAATTGACTTTTTTAAAGTTTCCAATTTGATAACAATACATTCTTCAGAACGCAGATCACCGAAATGTTACTCATGGGCGGATTTAAGGCTAGGTCATGTATTCAAATCCTGTCTTTAACTTATTAAATTAGCCTCTCGTCCCTTTAATTAAGATAATAAAAAGTGAAATACATAAAAATCTTGATCGGGATTGCCTCCTAATACACTAGTTTCTAACACATATTACCACTTTCTAATGAATAGAGATATAATCACCGTTTAATTTGAGGATGATATTGCTAATTTCTAAAGGTATTTTAATTATGTTTCCCATTATACATTTTATATTTTATTTGTATAAAGTGATCAATTAAATTATGCAAAATTAGTTTTATATTATATTAATTTATATTCACTAAAAACAAGGTCAATAAAATTTCTAAGAACCTTTTAATTTTTAAAAAGGACTCTACAATTTATATAAGTCCTACGAAATCTCCACAAATATGATTTCCGTGCCAATATAAACACATAACATATATAATTTACTTAATCTATTCAAAGTATTGTTTGGTTTTAAATTATATGTGACAATTGATACGAACAATTAACCTTTGTTCATTAATTAGTTCTCAATAAACATTAAATGGTAGAAAAATATAACAACGAACGGCTTGACAACGAAGTTGTATAAAAATATAGGATACAGGAGGCATTGTATTATAATACTCCTTTATGCTTATGCTAAAATGCGTATATTGTGTTCCTCGTTCAGGGTGAAGCAAGCTGAAGTGTTATGAAAGTTTACTCTATCGAAAATATGAATAAGGTAAAGATGGTATGGGAGAAGTTAGTTATTTTATAATAGAAATTGGATCAAAGCTATTAAGCATATTTCTGTCATTTGATCTACATACATAAATATTTTGTTATATTATCAAATCTAAGTTATTTGTACCTTGAACCTGAAGGCCATATCTTCAAATTGTCCATAGCAATTATGTCGTTAGTTCAATTCAACAAAATGAATATGGACAATATTTCGAAACCGAATTTTAATACGTCTGTCAATTAAAATTTTCATTAGAAAACTACGTAACAATATATTTAAAATTATTGTATCATTTTTGTTCATATCATATTCTTAGTCAGGTTCTAACAATACTTGAATGACATGATAATGTCGTACATAGTTTAAAAGTAATAACCCACTGCTCAACAAAATATCGATCGATGTTATAAGTAGCATAGATGTCTGATATTTAAAACACCCGTATAATTTCACTGCGTATCTTCGATCGTAAAGTGGATTGGTTATGCTGTTTGTATGAGTTACATAGACCAAAAAATATCAAGACCCAATTTATTGTTCTCATTATTATCCTATCATTAGCTAGTGAAATATTTAGTCTTTTATTACGACTCTTAGTATACTAACACTGAAAATGTTACCAAATCATCATGTTTTTCAATCAACCCACGCCGTAAACCGAATTTGAACCTTGACGAGGTCCTTTAACCCGGCTAGACGCTCAAGTTACATTATGATTGTCTTTATTTTATCATACATCTTTTTGCTACAGAATTTGAAAAGAAAATTTCAAATATAAAGACATTTTTTATAACAAAAGCTTGATTTTTGTCAGTCTTGTATTCATACAAGAATTGTGATATTTTAGAAAAGAGTAAAAACAATGACCGATAATTTCATTAAGATAATACATTTTTATTGTTCAAATGTTATCAGGAAAACTTTGCAGATTCAAAATTTATTCTAAACTCGATAATGATAATTAAATTCTCGGACATGAGATATCGTTACATTATTTTTGCTACATTATAGATTTTTATAGCATATTTTTTCGTCTGCTCTTTTTATTTTACAATATAAAGTAAAACTACAATTTTTTTATATATTTATATTTTATTTAATGAAATTCTATCTAACGACAATATGTTAATATTATCTATGTCTATTCATGAGTTTTAAGACAGTTTTACAATTGTTAAAAGTAATTGCTTTAATTATTTTAATGGACCTTATTTAGGTATCAAATAGCAATTACAAAGATTAGTTCATATTGTTAAAGACTGAACGAGAGAATTCCCTTATTCAGGGATCAAACGTCATTAATTTGTACTAAGTTGTTAACGTCTCAATTAAAATCTACTGTTTCAAACTTTTAAATTTAAATACCTTTAATACTGTATCGATCACATTAAGCTAAATAGTACCGAGTAAAGAGGTAGTTGCCCCACTCAGGCTCCATTTTTAATATATTTAAATATAATTTGAATCTACCTCCACTTCTAAACTCATAGTACTTAGAATAAATAATAAATTTCAACTAAAAATATGTATCATTATATACACTTATTTAATATGTATATTCATACACAGGTGGTGCTTGAAGTTGCCCACCGCGTGGACCAAGAGGGCGGTATCGCAGTGGATTCTGTAGTAGAAAAGCTGATCTTCAAGCCCCAGGATGTTGTCTCCATCCGAGCCAAGGATTCGGATCTAGAGTACGCGACCCACGACGTTTTCCAAACGGACAGCGCCATATCTAATAAATTTAATGGTAAACAAATTTTATAACTACCTCTACCACCCTCTCTGAAAAGTGATCGTTTTATTTTAATTTAACGCATACTAAAGCTTCCGCGAAAAGATACAAGATTTATGTAAACTACCAAATTCGTTTTATATGTAGTTAGTATTTTGTAAATGACACTTCTCTTTCAATTACTTAAAAATATTAAGGAATGTAAGGCGAGTAGCCGATGTTGCTATTCTGAAATAGGCATTATGTATAATAATATGAGTGTTATGTGCAGGTAACGGCAGATCAGTTGAAGAGCGTCACCTAGAGCCGTGGCATGGGGAGGGAGACAGCGGGGACGCGCCAGCTGTTAACGGTGACACCAGGCTCGACGAATTGGAGCTCGACCATCGTGCCAATGGCTGGGACGCTAACGACATGTTCAGAAAGAATGAAGAGGTGTACGGTGTACACAGCACATACGACCACTCGTTGGCCGGGTATACATTGCCGCTGCAGAGGAAAGACACCCAGGACTATAGGTGATTGACATTTGCTTGAACTGAAATGCTGATATAATTGCACTAAATTTAATATGGCAGAACAATAAGAAGTCATTTTACTAAGCTTTTATGTTAAATAATTTGTTTGATGTAAACAGAGAAGCAGAAGCCAAAGCCGAGGAGATAGCAGCTGAAATAGAAAGCGCTGCGTCTTACAAGGCGAGAATGGACTTAGAGAATGGTGACGAGGAGGAGAGATTCGCTGCTGTGGTCAGACCAGAGACTGGGAAGTACGTCATACCTAACAAGAGGAAGAATTTACAGGTGAGTCTATGAAAACAAACTCACTACTATAACCAACCAACCCAAAGACTGCTATCGAGGTCAATAAGTATTACGAACTCACTAGATCGTAGATATAGTATAGTCGTGAGGTATAAGAGCTAAACCTCTCTACAGACTCATAAGACTTGGGCTTGTCCAGAACTGATAATTAATTCTTAGAACGTACTTCAAAGGCAATTCCAGTAGGTTCTTCCAAACTTAGTTAAGTAGAAAAAAGAGCTTGGATTGAATGGAATCCATTAAGTGCTGAGAAGTTTCGTCTCATATATATTGCATAATTCCTTTATGATATGAAATCTTTTAAAAATTATAACAAGTTTGTATTGGTAGTATAAACTATAAATGTTTTATGTTCGATAATAAAAGCGGTCTTAAAATTGTTACCATGACAATACACTGTTAAGCAAATACGGTACGGAAGGTAAAATTTACAGCGTTTTGATTTTTATTGGAATGCAAATACATACATATATAGATATATATTTGAATGTGCTTTGTTGATACTGTTGTAACGTTCTCCGTTATAATAAGTCTTCGTTACTTCTAAGTTTTCTAGAATTTTAGACGTTATATTGCCATTAAAATGAAATGTTGCATCCGTTCGAATGTCTATGTTGTTAGATATATGATTTAATACAAGATGTGTTGACGATAAAGATGAGAAGTCTGGTTACAACGTTGAAGATTTTCTTGAAATACCATTAATTACTTGAACCTAATTATAATAACTATAAAATAACTTTAAACTAAAACACTAATAGATTTTCATAATGGAAGCTGATTACTTGTGATTGTTAATTTGTTGTGTATTTTATTACAGTCGGGTAAACTAGTAAAGCCCTCAAACAACGGCGGGAACCCGTCCGCGGGAGCTGGCGGGGCGAAGCCGCCGGCCTTCGCCCACCCAGCAAAAGAAAAGGAACACCGTCCACCAAGGCATCACCTCACCCCACCATCTGACAGAAGACCAGAAGAACAACAGCCGGTACACAGACATACATAAACATTCTTCTTTATGTACATACACACACTAAACTGAATTAAAGATAGTTTTTATGCGTTCAGATAAGTATTGTGTAAAAAATACAGAAAAGATGAATTGTGTTATAAATGTGGAGATTTAAATAATGATTCCTCTAATAGAATGACGAACAAGTCATATAGTGATATTAAAATTAGATCATGTATGAATTTATAAATTATTACACTTAATACACATTACACTTCATAAATATACCTATGCTTGAAACAAAGATTACTCATTCATTTGGATTTCAATTAAGTTTTAGGTATATTTCTTCAACATTTTGTTGTAAGCAATCAATTATAACAGATATTAATTAACTTCAAAGATTCATTCAACAGCCAAGCACATTATCAGTTACAAATTTAACATTTCACACTCGTCACATATAAAACTTTATAAAAACTCATTTATACGTTTATATATCAAACTGTAACTAAACAATAACAAATAATCCAACTAATATTTCCAGGCGGCGAGTCCAGTATCACTACCATCAAACCCAGCCGTGCCCGCCATCCCACCGACTGGCGGCACGTCGGGTGCTAGCAGCAAGAGTTACGCAGCGCAGGCGGGCGGCTACCACGCGCCACCATTCCCCCACCACCACCAGCACCAGCCACCGCATCAACACCACCACCACCCACAGTCAGAACCACCACTTATAAGTTTACATTACATACGACCAGAATATAATAACATACATAAGACATTATTACTTACAGACTTGACTTATCACACGATAACTCTTTATAAAGAATATGAAATACCAAACATACATGAATGTCCATAAGTATTCAAAAATGAATCTTTTTGAGTCGTTGTTATAATGAAAGAAATAATTTTAAAATGATGTAACCGTAGATATTCTAGATTCAGCGAATTCTAAGTTAATTTCAAATGTGTATTCTGTATGGATAAGTAATACTACTAATTTATAAAACTATACAATTATATATATAAATATTTTCTTGTTTTAGATCATCAAGTGGTAAAATAAACGGTGAACAAAGAGCCGCTCCCCTGCCTCGACAAGGTTTCCCACCGCATCATCATCACGTAAATATCGACATACATTTCCTTCACATTACGTCAAGTGATATATATTTAAATATTTATTATACAAATTTATACAGAACCCACCTCCGGGCGCCGAAAATCACTCCCGCGCTCGCCTCCACGCTCCCGACCCACGAAGACAGGATGAAGTACAGGTAAATTATAGTAACATTTTTATAATAATTATTATCATGATTAAGTAATTCTTTTGCTCTTTTTTTCTCATAATTTCCTTAATATCAACAATATTTTATACTTTATCTCGTTGTACATTAAATAATGTATCCTGACAAACATTTTATCATAGTTTCAAAATTTATTTATTACCCAAATAATACTAGCCTAATTTCGTATATTGCAACTTTACGGAACAAAATCTGTGTGTTATTAAAATTAATTTATAATAATATTGCAGGAGCTTCGAAAGTTTGGTCAAGAATTTAAGTTGGTATCGTCACCTGCGCCGCACGCTCCCACCCATACGCCTCAGCCGCAGCCGCACGCCCAGCAGCCACAGACGCACCCACACGCGCACCCTCACGCGCATTCACAGCCGCATCCACAACAACACTCACAGCAACACCCACAACCACACACGCACACATCGCAACCGGCATCGGCGGCACCCTCGGTTAGTATGAGAGGAGAAATATTTAAATTAGTCGTAATCCTAAAACAAAAAAATAATCATAACTTAAGTTAAATAAATTAATCCGAAATTAAATCGTTTCTATTGGTAAACAGTTTAATCGTTAAATACATCTAAGCATTTAAACAACAAATGATTGACAATAATGAAACAATTTGTATTAGTCATCTGGTTCGTCGAGTCCACCGGAGGTATCAGCCAACTCTGGGTCGCCTTCCACTCCACCTAAACGTGATCGTCCACACAAACATGACCCGCCAGCCTTACCGCCAGCCCTGCCGCCCACACCGCAGCCTGGACCGCCATCACAACATCACAAGGTACTGCATATACTTTACTTCTTCTTCTACCTGGCAATTTCCCAGCTTTAGCCAGGGTCTGCCTTACATGTTGTGTATAGTTTTGGCTTTTTGTTCTTACGACCGGCCGCCTGCTGGACATCAACCCTCTTATTGGGAATCAGCATTAATCAGTGATGCCTAAATACTCTTAGAAAGTATACAGGGTGACTGGTGAATTACTATCAATATTTAAGGAGAATACTCGGTACATGATTCTCATTCGAATTATTTAAAAAAAGTAGGTACTTAATTTTTGACAAAATTTCCGTATAAATAAATAAAGTGTTGACACGTTCCAAGTATTCCAAGTGTGGACGCGTACGACGGCGTGCTGATACAACACTACGCCCCGCTCGCGTATGTGTGAGTGTGAGTGTATACCTAATCTGTAGGGTGTTCACACGATGCGTAATTAATTACATAACTTTTGGTTAACTTTACTTAGAAGTTTATTAATATTTATGTTATATTAATTTTTATTTTGTCATATATGATCGTCAAATATCACGTCCTCAAATATCGATAGTAATTCACCAGTCACCCTGTATATGACTTGGAAAAATCACATTGGTACTTGCCAGGGCCAGGATCGATCCCGCGTCCTCGGCAACGAGGCGGGCCCTTTAACCACTAGGCCACCACTGACTGCATATACTTTACTATACATTATTAAAGAAAGTGGTGTTTGTTAGTCACACTATAACTTATAACTACAGAACGACTGTACGGATTTTGAGGGAAATTCCAAATCTCTTTATCCACTAAAGCCAAGCAGTTCGCATGGTTAGCTATACATTTCTAATTCTGAAATTAAAACATACAAAGTCGCGGGTAGAGCTACTATATTATAATAACCTTTTCCTTTTCCCAGCCACCGTCAGGGTCAAAGGCAGAGGAGGGCGAGGAATCCCCAGCCAGTTCTCCACCAGCTACCTCTCCGGGCGTCGAACGTGTGCCCGTCAAGAAATCCACACTAAATCCTAACGCTAAGGAATTCAACCCAAGCGCAAAAACTTTCACTCCTCGCAGCCCCACTACACCAGGACATAGCAGGTAAACCCCATATGTGTAAACGTATTAAAACTACGAACGACATTTTAATACTGTCTTTATTTTTGCCTCCTTTCTTAGCTAACCTATTCTATTTTCGATCCCTTTCACACTCAAACGGTTACACTTCATCATATATTAACTGCATAACAATTGACAGATAATATAAAAAATGTTTAGACAGATAATAATTATTCTCCTTACATATGTATATGGCACAATTGTATGTTTATGTGCTACTAAAGAATTTTATAGTTATCATATAATAGTATTGTTAGACTATCCTATTGATATATTCTTATTAATTACTTTATATCTTGTCAATATAGAGAGAAACAAGAGAAAGGAAGATTTTTGAATCAAATGCAAAAATATGTCCAAGAATGTTTATATAAAACTTATCCGATAATATTATATCCTCAAATAGGTGTAATTTTATCAATTAAAAATGATGTTTATTGTTCTAAGGAACTAAATAAATAAAATCTATTTCAGACCACACACTCCGGGAACACCAGTGGGTGTGGGTTCAGGCGTGGGCGTAGGCGGCATGGGTGTCGGCGTGGGCGTGGGTGGTCTGGGCGTCGTGGGCGCCGGGGTCAGTTACGTCGCCGCGCCGCCGCCGCCACAACACATGGTCAGACAACTTTACCTATATATTGATTACTTTTCTGATTTAAAATTTTGACGGGGCTATGATATGGATCTAAGTGCATACATAGGATTGAAAATTTCTCGTCATCAATCATTTATTGTAATGGGACTGTATGTATAATCTCATGTACTTTGGTTTTTATATCAGCATGCTATATCTTCTTCTTCTTCCTGGCAATTTCCCAGCTTTAGCCAGGGTCTGCCTGATCGGACATCAGCATGCTATATATCTAGATGAATTCAAATGTTATCAGATGTTGAGCCTACTTACTTTTCTTCACAAAAAAAAACAAAAATATTTGCAAGAATTTTCATAGTACTCGCTTGTGCAGGATTACAACGTACAATGTATTAAAAATATGTTTATAATATAACAGGTGGCGGCGGTGCCAGCGTACGCGATGGTTGCCGCTGCTGCTGCTGCTGCTCAACAGCCGCCAGCATACATACCTCATCCGCATCCAGTAAGTTTGTATATAACTATCGGAATCATACTTTGACTCGCCGTAAAACTATCAGATGTTCGACATGACTGTGTCTGTTCGTGTTATGTAAAACATTGTAAACTAGATGGAGCTCCCGTGCGAGTGTCGCCAGTATGCGCCGCCCTTGTTCGTGTTGGACAAGAGAGAGAGGGAAACGGTAAGGAGTGGGGATTAGACTGCTGTTGGACCATATGAAGTCATTGTTATGAATTAACCTTTCCCAATCTTATTTGAGTTGTTCTTTATCATGGGAACAAATGAGTTTGAGAATTTGTGTTTTATTTGAAAGTTTCGTTTAAATAAGTTGTTTGGGACCTTTTAATGTTTTTCGTGTGTGCTTATAACCAAGATATAAGCTATCCTATTGAAATATGATTCTCTCTTTTTTTCCAAATGCAGTATTTTTATATTAAAACAACAGATTTGTTTTCGTGTATGTTTGTTTTACTAATCGATTGGATAATGCCTCAATGTTTTTTTGACATTCTAACCAATTAACTTTTTTTAAACAAAACGTTGAGTACAATTCGGTCATGTAGTATCACTAAAACATTGTCTGACTTCCTCCGGTGTCAATTTGACGAGATCCTTTGATAATTCCCACAACTTGTCTCTTGCTTCTTCATCATCAGCCTTATAGGACGGTCGGGCTTGCTTGCAGTCTTCGAAGTACTTGCCGCTAACCTGATCGCATTCTATATCGACAGCTAAATATACAGACGTCTGCGCGCCCTCTTCTGGTGTCTTAAAGAAGGCGTATAGCATCAAACTCCTCAACTTGTCCAGAACCGTTGAACTCCTGTACAAAGATGTGTTAACGAGGCCAGGGTTCAAACAGTTGACAACCACTCCCGTCCCCTCCAGACGGTTGGACAGCTGTTTACAAAACATAATATTACACAACTTGCTGTTAGCGTACGCCTGTATATAACCATGTTTGTCGCTGTTCAGTTCATTGACTGTACCGAATTTGTGCCACGAGGACGACACGATGACGACACGACTAGGCGATGCCTTTTTCAGCATCGGCACCAGTAGCACGGTCAATAGAAACGGTCCGAAGTAATTGATCTGCAGATCCTTCAGGATACCGTCCTCGGTTCTCTCCCTGGATGTCAGTATGGCGCCTGCGTTGTTGATGAGAACATCTAGCTTAGCTTCCCTTGATTTTAACTGGTCAACGAATTTTCTAACTGATTGTAAGGATGTGAGATCTAAATGTATGTAATGTATCCTATTATTATTGGTCCTCTTGATGATTCTGCGTACAGCTGTCTGACCTTTGTCATTGTTTCTAGATGCCACGATGACCTTGGCTCCCCTTCTTGCCAGTTCGAGCGCAGTCTCAAAGCCGATTCCACCGCTTGCTCCCGTCACCACAACCACTTTCCCACTCATTACAGTATCCGAATAACACTTTCCAGTGGACAATTTGTTCAATAACTTTATTAGAAATACTAATGCTCCTACCCATGTTACTAATATGATGATCATTTTTATTATTTATTTCCTCTGGACCTCAAAAATGCACTGTATTATATTGTCCTTCTTAAAAATTCATTGTCCTATATTTAAAATTCCGTATCCAACAAAGTTGTTATTGAATACCTCAATCGCTTCCACAGCAATAATTAATAATTGCAGAAAATCGTATCAGCAATATTAGTTATTAAAGATTACTGATAATATTTATTAACGCAGTTTTACTCATTGCTTGTCAACATAAAATTAAATCAGTAAAATTTTGCAAAAAAAAAAATAATACTATTTATGTATGCCACGATTAATATAATTTATTTAAAAATTCACCTGTCAAACTTTACTAGTAATATATTCGGAATTAAAAACTTAGTGAGACACACAGACGTACGAAGGTTTATTTTATTACGATTAATTAAATCATTATCGTACATTTGTGTCAGAGATGTCATGTATTAATTGTAAACATATACATTGAAGCGGATTTAGTTATCACTAACGAGACTCGTGGCTCTATCTGTATTGGATGAGAAATGTACTAATAATAATTCATTAAATAATTTTTTTCTCTACACTGATCCTCTAACACAGTGTTTTTCAATCTTTTTTGATATCGAGGACCCCTTTGTGGGTATGAATAATTTTGGTGACGCCTTGTGCCATAGACAGGCAGGAAAATTCTCTGCAATGATATGCAAGACATATTCTATGCAATGATGGCCATCAAAACAGAAAAGAGAAATAAACTTAAATTACAAGCTGTTTTGATAGTTAATATTTCAATAAGCGACATGACCTGACATGCCATTCAAAAATAAACAAACCCATCCTTCTCATTAAGATTTGGTTTTTATTTTAGTGTAGAACATTATCTTTTTCTTTTTACTAGCGACCCCCCGACTTAGTCTTGAAAGATTTGATTGAAAAACACTGCACTAACAGATTGTTTGTTTTTATTTATTTTAACATTAAGTAACTTTTATTTTGTTCTCACTGATAATGTTAATGTTGTACTAACAGCTGTACGGTGCTGCGATGGGCGGTGGTGCCGTGGCTGGGGGCGGTGGACAACACGCTCCCATGCAACCACCCCAGAGGAACTTCAGGAAGGGTGAGTACCCATCACTTATGTTCATGTCTAACTAGGTTAATGTAGCATTAATTATTATTAATATTATTTTGATTTCTATTGTAAAATCGCGTTAATATTTTCTATACTGCTCTGTAGACTTCATAAATAAACAATGAAATGCCTAAGCATTAAATATAAATAAACATTTCCCATAGAGATATTCGTTATTTTCTGTTGCAGGTTCAGGGGTGCAGGTGGCTGCAGCGACCGGCCAGCCACTGCTGACCCCCGCTCCCATGCAGCCCTTCGTGCCGTATCCACACCCTCACCCCGCGCACCCAGCACACCCCGCACAGCCTGCGCTTCAATACCAACACATGGTAAAGAACACATATTGTATGCCATATATATATATTACATCTAAGAACATTCGACACAATACTAACTATCGGTTTACTTGTAGGTTCGCATGTACAGCGGCGGCGGCGTGGGTGTAGGTGGTGTGGGCGTGGGCGGTGGTGTGGGCGTCGGTGGCGGCGTGGGCGAGTACGCGCCGCCCGCACCCTCCCCGGCGGCTGCCTCCCCCGCCTTGTACCCGCCGCCGTCACCCGCACACACCCCGCACCCTCATCCTCACCCACATCCACACCCGCACCACCACTACCAACAACCACCGTTTCAGGTGAGGCCTACAGACATGTGTACACAACCAAGCCTAATTAAAATGATCACAAACATTCAGTCCTATAGTTGATAACTCGCGACTATTTATCTGTACTATAATTATATATATTAATAGGAAGCGTATTTAACGATATCCATGATTGCAAAGAAGTATGTTTATATATGTATGTATATGTTCTCCAGGTTTTGTGTCCCCTGATGGGTCCGGGCGGCGCGCACCACCACCACCACCACCCGCATGTAGCATACCTCAACCACGCGCCGCCCACCGCCAGCCCGCCCCACCACCCGCACCCAGTACAGGTACCACCACCACCACATAAACATATACTAACATGACGGGTCTACCGGTACACCACCCCCCATCGAGTCATTTACATGTCTGACAAATATATCTTCAATACTATATAATTTATATCTCATGTGTCGACTGTACAGAGGTTAGTCAGTTCATTGTTTGGGTGTGATGTTATATGGGTATGTTATGTACTCGTATGTATATTATGTGACTATCACGTTACGTCTCGTGTCGTCCGCTTGACTGTTTCGGGTCATATTCTAACGAACACTGGGAAGAAGTTATGGTTCAGTAGCTAACATCTCAGAACGCCGTTGTCACTAATAATAATTACCACTGGGTTGCTTTGGTAACTTGAGGTTTTTCCAATATAGTTTCTGAGGGAGGGTGAAACGCGGTTTTGGTGAGAGAAGACCTTTGTTGACAGAATTACCGCAACCCGTTGGTAAGAGAACATGGTTACTAACGGCACCTAGACAATAAATAGCTTGACTCTACACTTAGAGTCGCGCGACGTGTGTGCGTAGCGAGCCCTAATGTATATTAATTTTGCGTTCCGTTGTATTCATTTTGTTTTCACACCCGTCCCTTGGCTACTTGGCAAATTATGTATATCATCGTACATGTCAACAGTGCACCATTTATGAATATATAACCGCTTGACCACCGCTTTAAATGTTACGTCATCCGATATTAGATATGTTTGGAGTGAAGGGCGTGTTGGCAGACAGAGCCGCGTGTGTTTATATGTGTGTATGTTTTCTTGCAGCAGGTGTTGGTGCCGCAGTCGTCGGGCGCCCACCACCCCCACCCGGCCTAGTGCGACCCTCGCAGCCCACGGAACACTGTCTCGCCATCTCTGCCATTATTTGTGGAGTACTGAATGTTATCAACACAACAACTACACCTAAAACTAAACCTAAACCCCATCGGTGCGGACGACGCTCTAATATCAGTACTCGATGATTAAAGCAGGCGGTGTATTATAAGTTATATATAGATAATGCCTTCTATTTATTTGTCTGTATTTTTATTTTAATGGTTTTTTTTTTTATCGTAAGACCTTAAATGTTTTAATCTTTATTCACTGCCATTCGTATGTGATTGTGCACGCGTATATAAATGTCAGTGAATATCGCACCACTGCGGCGACGACGATTTCTTTTACTTTTTATGTCTACTTTTTCAAATAAATTTATATTCCTTTCGTTATTTTAAACAATGTCATATTGTCTTGTGTAAAATTTACAAGAGAATTTTATATTTTTATGTAAACTCGAATTCTATATATATATACATTAATGTCAGATAGAATGTTTTAACTGCTATGTCATTGGCGTTCTGTAATTAGTTTTAATTGTTGTTATTTTTATTTTGTTAAAATAGTGTTAGTGAAAGTTCTAGATTGGTCTTTTACAGATATTCTTTTCTTAATAAGGTATTGTAATATTATCACAGTTTTATTGCCGTTGTCTCCAGGTTCATATGTATTTCTAAAAGGATGGAGCTAATATATTCGGTAGTATATTATTTATTATATAAATATTTATTTTAAAAAATGTGACGGAGTATACACGATAAAAAAACTATATATATACATATTTATATATTTAGAACTCTTGTTTTACCTTATAACTGAAGTTTTATATGAATGAAATTTGTATTGTGAATATGTAATGTATTAGCTCTGTCCGAGTTTCGTATTCGTATGCCTTACACACTTACACGGGGACGCGATAACGTCGTCGTCAACATTTAGAATTCAAAATTGTCAGGTTGGCAGCACTGTTTGTATTTTATCCAACGGTAAGGTTAGATACGCTTCTTATAATTCCGACTCAGTGTTGCCAACGTTATTACCAGTGTATAAACACGCGGCGGATGTGTGCGTGCGTGCGTACATGCGTGCGTGTGTGTGTGAGACTGTGTCTGATGTGTATATGTATGCGTATGTATGAGGACGAATGTGTATTATAGGTAGATAATTTACTTCTTGAATCGGCGAGATTTGTATATTGAGATGACATTTTAATATCATGATTATTATAAATGCATGCAACTCGTCGATGATATTAACATGTACAAATCTCGTCATGATGTACCCTCGCTGCAGTGCGTTCCGATGACGTCATAGATTATAAACACTGGACTTTAATACCTTAGGGACCGGAGTAACTGAGATCGTTGTTGTTATTATATAAAGTCAATTCTGATGGTTACTAGAGAGAGGACAGTGATCGTTTAAAAAAAATACATTCTATTGTGTCGTTGTGATTATAAAAAAGTTTAAATAATAGAAATTTTAATACATATATTCTTGGCGTTATAGCTGAATAAAGGCATCGTATAGGAGATCTTAATATACAGGTGCGTGGAGTAGACTTGGGTATCGGTCACCACCACGTCCGTTTAATCTCAGTTATCTGGTCGTGAATCCTAGACGATCTCTATAATTTCGTGGGACTAGTAATAGAAGACTCATCTCTAGATATAAATATGATTATATGTTTATTTCTACTATTACTGCCTTTATAATGTTGTGCTCCCGTCACATGAGAGATAGAGCGCATTTAGAATTGACAATAAAAAAAGAAATTGATAGATGTAGGGGGAAGTATCTAGGATTTTTCACTATAAATTTTGAGTCTTACGACATGGGTAAATAGGGCTCAAAAGTGATTGACGTGGCAACTACAGTAATTATGTACATATAGCTAGATTACGGATAACTATGACAGTATAATATAAAACCACATTACAAAAGATCTATATTTTGTTCGATGTCTTACATTTGATTCATTTATCCTAAACAAAACAACGAAATATTATAATTCATTATTAGAGTTTATCACTATTCGCCGGTTGGAGCTCAGCGGTCTGCTCGCTCTGTGGATGTACGTCTGTTTATATAGAGGGGGGCTTAGTCCATGACCTCCGCGCGGTGCTCCCTGGGTAGCGCAAAATGTGGACTCACATTCACATTTATTACAAACAGCGTCTACGGCACGCGCGACATATATGACATAGCAATACATTGCTTTAATAATAACGACCAAAATATTAAAATTATATTGTTGTATGATCGATTGATTCAACACCGGTCGGACCCGTTGAGTGTTGACGGTGTCATGTCATAGGTTACAATACTCAATCAAGGATCGCACGTCGATCACCGACTATAATTATTATATTATATACCTTTTATGACACGTTTAATATAGATATAGTTACATTTTATTTTTAATTTTATTACACAACACGGTAGTTTGGTGACGTATGTATAAACTTTCCTAAGTCCATATGTAGGATAAGTTAGATGTAAATATGTATATAAGGTATATCGAAGGGTCGGACATACTTACCCCCGGAATGCTTATTCGTTTTATCATTTGGATGTATAAATTCAAAAACATTAAAAAAATCACAAAAAAAGAGGAAGGACCTGTTTGTCCCGTACCACGATGTTGACGTTGAATAGAATCGAAATCATGGTACGGGTTATATGAGAACTGTGTTTCATTATTATTATTATTGTAATTTTTTTTTCAACTTTGTTTTTATTTCTAAAAAATTTTATAGCCGCGTGCGTGTGTGCGCGTATGTTTGTTGCTGCATGTACTGTATGTGTGATATACAATGTGCGTCTGTTGTTTGTTGTGCGCCATATATTATTAAAGTCCAGGGAGGGAACGAACGCGTGTTTAGTATTAAGTTAAAACTAGGTACACGGAATTTACGTAGTGTATTTTCTTTATCGGAAAATTTATGATAATATTCTGTACCTCGATCGTCTCCGGTTATGTTATATATGGTTGTGTAACATTTACAAAAATAAATTAAGACGGGCTCACGAGTCAAGCTGCACTGTAAAGTTGTTTTGTGAAATGATAACTGTGAGATATTTATGTGATGTTATTATGTACAATGATGTTTTCCGTTTGTAACCATCATTTTTTTCCGTTTACACGTGAACCCGTCTCGAGTGCAACGAAATAACGACATGAAAAGTGAAAATTGTAACTATCGCAATAGATTTAACTTAGGGTTGGTGTTTGTGACGCGACGCCATCGCTTTAATATCGTTATAATACATGTAATTTTATATGCAGTTGTAATTTGGTATATATATAGTATATATATTATTATATATATATATGAAAGTGAAGACGTTGTGTATTGTAATTATTCGTTGCATTAAGTTTTGATACATATACATGATATTGGCACTAAGACACTGAATAATAGATTAAGACGATATAAATTATATACTTAAACGAATAGTTACAAATGATACAAGGAATAAATGTACACTCAAAGGCAATAATATGAGGTGAAATATTCGTACTTGTGATTTTTTGTAAACGCTGTATTGTAATGTAACAACTGTGCCTTTAACATTCGACCTGTAATAATAAGACGAGTCACCCGCAACGTGGATTTCATCACTGCCAGTTTCAGCGCCCCTGCTATACTTATAAACTGTCCTTGTTCAAGTCGACGGTGCGGGCTCGTTGTAATGTTACAATGATTCACGTGTCGGGATCAAGCCCGTTTTGTAATACTACGGTGTATCGGCTAATTACAGCTTTTTATGTTATGTACCTGAAATATGGCACTCGTTTATTTTGCGTATGTAAAGTATATTGCAACTGTAGATTTATATGCAGGGCCGGCGGCGGCACCACCCCGCCAAACACTCGGGTCGCCTGTTTTTGTATTTATATAGGTCGAATGCCTTATCGGGCAGCGCGATGAACACCAGCTAGGCCGGACCAGGCGGGGGTTAAGACTGATGTGGATGGAAGGTTTTATATCGATGGCTATGTATGTGTGCTTGGCTTAAGGTTTAGTTCGCGCCGCTCGCTTGAAGACGTTGCCAACCGGCGCCCTCACACCTCGGGACCCACAGCCACCAGCTGTCTCGACGGATATTTTTCAATAAAAAAATTATAAAAAATGTGTTTTGAACACAACACTCGCTTGTTTTATTTTTAAATTTATAATTATCATTAATCACTTGTGAATTTTGTTTAGATTCAACTAAATTCATCAATTAGAATGGTGAAAATATTAAATTAAATGTAAATGTTCTAAAGATCTCTGTATAAGTTGTTCAAACAAGATATATATACCAAGCCAAATACAGGCCATAATGAAAATAATATGTTAAGAAAAAAACTAAATTGTTTATAATTATTTAATCTAATAAATACAGATAAAATAATTTTAGAGGACATCACAGTTAAGTAATAAATAAGAGTTACATTAATCTGATAAATAAACAAGAAGGAATATTCTTAACCTAATTTATTACATCGGAAGATAGAAAACAGTCACAGAATTCTCAGGATAATTTTTTGGTACTTTAAAAACAAAAGAGTAGATTTACAAAATATCTAATGAATTAAATGATAAACATGGAAAAAATAGTTTAATTATAGTAGCAAGCAAATATCCAAACACTTAATATGGATCATTACAGTTGTAATTTTATATATTAAATATAAATTAACAGGTATTGATGAAGTACACAGTGACAAATTTTTGGTATATCAGATGTTTAGACTTAATAATTAAACTTAATTAAAAGTATAGAAAATACGTACAAAATGATTCATGTCAACCTAACAAAACATGAACCCACGTCTTCCTTTCATTTATTACTAATATTTAAATATGGACTATGTCTGAGATAAAAATAAATTATTGTTATTACATTCGGGGGTCATGCCCGCCGACAAAATTGGTAATTTAAGCCTTTTGCCCAAAAAAAACTAGAAAATAATGGTTAGATGGATAACTGAAAAAAAAATAAAGACAACTAAAAGCTTCTTCAGCTGCTAATTGCTCAGGCTTTTGATCAGCCTCGAGGTCAAAAGTTTGTGACATATTCGAAAATATTTTGGAAAGTGGGAACTCTCGACCACACCAAATTTATAATCAAGTCTATCTGTAAAGAGGCTTTTTCAGGAAAAAATATATGGAAGGACAATTTCATCTGGCATTTGGCAGGATGGATGGCAAAAAATTTATTCCTGAAAGCTCTTAAACACTTTCAGAGTTTTGTTAAATCATCCATTACCGATCAAATTATTTTGATTGTCGAAGGGAATGCAAGTATCAAATTTCTGCGCTGTTGAAACTTGCTTATATTAACTGTTAAGGCAGGTAATGGGCTAAATGGTTAGTTAACGAAGGTTTTTATTTGCGTTCTCTGACCCTTATTTTTTATTTCCTTGGAAATTTCATTTTGCGATGTGTCCGTAAGTTGTGAATAAAATGCATCTTCTCTGATGTCATTTAAAAAAGATAATTTTATATTTTCAACTTGATTTATGTTATAAAAATGTTTAAACATAAATTCAAATATCACTGGTTTTCCCTGTGATTTAATAATAAAAAGCTATGATACAAAAACAAAACTGTATGTCATTTTGTACCCAAATCCTCTACTTTATGCCGCGGCAAATGTTTTTTTAAGACTGAAGTTAATATTATAAATGATCTGTGTTGTTTATGTTGCACCTATCGACGATGGTATTCTTTAATCTTTAGTAACAATTCACTAGTCACTGCTATATGTCATTTGGACTGATTTTTGTTACATCCTATATAATGTCCGAGTTTTCGGTCACCGGATTCAACGAAGCAATTTAAGCACAGACTAGACGGCTAACTGCTATATAATAATGATTTATAAATTCCTAATGTGCCTCGTGTGTGTCCTATGTTGTCCGTGCATGGCCTCCTTCACTTCATTAAGGAATGTGGTTGAGTTGTGTATGGTGGTACCACCGAGCACCACGTTCACTCCAGGGTACGACTGGTTTATCTGATGGACGCACAGCGCCTCCTCGTATGTCGTCCCTCCTACTATGAACACTATAATATCTTGTGGTCGCCTGTTGAGTAGCTCCCCTCCTACCGCGGGATACAGGTTCTCTCTCAGTTTCCCTTTGATGAGGTCTTCTAGAGTGTCCTTGAGCAGCGGTGTGTGCTGAGTGTAGATGTTCTCCACGCCACTGAGACCCTAATGTAATAAATATTATTATTAAATTAGTTTTTTTATAATCCACAATCCATCCTTCTTTTTTAAAGGATTGTTATTTGTTAAAATCTACCTGACATCGTCAACTCTACAATCTGTTACGGAAATCTAATAGAATCCATTATGAAAAGTCGTCTTAAATTTGATACTTACAATATTAAAGGTAAAAAACAGACAATTTCAATATAAACAGTACTAGATTTGTAGGGAAGATACGATATAATAATTAATATTGAAATTTTCTTCAGTCATCGTATCCGATGAGATCGAAATGGTTACCGTCTATGACAAGCTTCAATATATTAATAATGATGAATCACCTTGAAGAGTCTCTTAGTAATCTTAGCTGCGTCCTGCAATCCGAACAGGTCGCTCTGTCGGGCGTGCGCCCCTCCGTACTCCAGCAGTAGCGCGGGCGCCCGGTGCTCCGCCCCCCGGCTCTTGAGGCTGTCTATGAGCGCCGGCAGAGCGTTTGCCGCGTGTTTCTCATATCGTAACGCGTACAGACATACAAGCTTCACCAGCTCCGTCCCGGCGATCGCCTCGTCCGATAACATCGCTTTGAGCCGCTAGAATCACACGTTCATGTTATACTAGCTTCACCGGAACTTCATCGAAGTATCCTCATAAATTGGGTTCACAAGAAATTAATCATGTGTTTGACTACATACAAAAAAACTCATGTATTGTGATCCCGTCAGGAAAACGTATAATTTAAGCATGAGTGATAAACTTTTTTACTATTACTTCAATTCTATTTCATTGATATAATCATACGAAATATTTTATGTTGGCTAAATACATAAACGTCTTCCTGACATATTCATACATATTTTCATATAAAGAAGTAGAAAAATACACAATTTTCTATTACCTGATTCCTAAAGAAATCAAAAATTTTAGAAATGTGTAATAATTTAATCTGTATCAAGTCATAGTGAGTGTGAGTGTTGTATGTGGTACCTGCAGATGTCTGGTGTGGTCAGCGTGGCACGCCAGCTCCTGTTCTAACTCAGACACTTGCAACAACCGACGTGACCCCACCACCGACGACAGCTGACCTACCACCGTCACGTGCTTCGTTACAGTACCGCACATTTTCTGTAAACACGTCATATTAATTTAATAATTATGAGTATGAATAATGAAAAAAAACTTCATCATTATAACATTGTCATCAGCCTATCAGAGCCCACTGCTGAGCAAAGGCCTCTGTCTCACATGGAGAATGTTTGAGCATTAATCACCACGCTTGTTCAAGACAGGTTGGTGATTTCAAACTTATAATTGTGAAATTATAAGTCCAGGTTTCCTCACAAAGTTTTCCTTCACCGTCTGTCAGTTATTCTAAATACTCTTAGAAAGTACATATGATTCGGAAAAATCACATTGATACTTCCCCGGGCCAGGATCGAACCCGCGCCCTCGTGCATGAGAGGCGGACCCTTATACCACTAGGCTACCACTGACTTTATTATATCAATAGTAACAAAACTTATCCAAGCCATATCTAACATAATGTTATAGACAGAGGCTGGATTTGAATTGTAGAGAAGTACGACGATAGTTGCTAAATATTATGTGTATGTAGTGTCATACTAAGACATTTGAAGAGAGAAATAACTGTAAGGGAGCGTTCAAGTATTACGTAACGCAATTTCCGAAGATTTTTGACCCCCCCTTCCCCCGTCGTAACGCACAGTAACGTTTTTCTGTAGCCCCCCCCCCCCCTTCTCAAAACGTTACGTAACCCTCAAGTGATCAATTTCATCAAAAGACTTACAATGCAATCTAGTTATTCCCCGTAAAATATCAATTATGAGGTTTGCAAACTTGGAATAACAAATAAAAATATCGACCAGACTAATACAATCTGGTCAACAATGTAATGTATATGAAAAGAGTTGCCAGTTTGGGGGTTTTTATTAATATTTTTTTTAGAAACAATGCTACGTAACGTTTTGTAAGAGACACCCCCTCCCGCCCCAGTAACGCATCGTAACGTTTTACGAGCCCCCCCCCCCCCCCCCCCCCTCCAAAATTGCGTTACGTAATACTTGAACGCTCCCTAATTAAGTCGATGAAGTACTGCAGTAGTAAATATGTAAATGAAAGTATAGGGTAATATTTTGTTCAATCCGAACATAGCGTGAGTCAACCAAGAAACGATAATTAATTTTAATTATCCGCCTGCTAGTTATAGTAATAAATATTCTAAATACCGAGAAAGTGAACATATTACATTATATAATCAATTTAATCTTTTTAAATTATCTTACTTAATTAGTAACTATGCATAAACACACAAAATCATAAATGAATTGAAATCTCAAATATCTTTTAACTTTATTAACAGTCATTGTGTATAGTGTCAACTTTTCACATGTGTACATTCTTTCAGTAGGTATATAATCATGCTTACCTTGAACAGAGGGTAAGTTTCAACAAAGTTCTTCATGTCAGCTATACTCTCCACCTTCTGGTGACTTTTCGCCTTCTTTTGGAACTCATCCATCAGAGATTTCATCGTTTGACCGATTTCACCGAAATTGGAATATAAATTCTGATAATAGAAACATATAATTAAGTTAAACCAAATAAAATACATAGACAATCATTAATATAATAAGAGACTTATAAGAGAGTTATTAGATGTAGCAATATTTATGATTGTTCGGTCTTGTATTCAATACTAACAGTTCATAACCAACAGAAATTTATTTAACAGTTCAAGATAGAGTATGTTAAAGTTTTTTAGAAACTCCTGTTACCTTAGCATAGAACTCATCTTGTTCCGACGATAGTACAACCTCCTTCATGTCTTTGGGTGCATCCTGGACTCCGGCAAGGCTGACACGATTGTTATCGATTGTGAGCAACTCATGGACCATAGCTTGGTATGTCCACTGGAAAACACATGATACACTTTACTGAAGTTAATTCACAAAATTCTAGAAATGTTGTATTGAAACAACTAAATAATCATAGAGAAATAGATGATACTATAATATATAGTGAGGTTGTTTGACAATAACACTAAAAATATTACTCAAACTATCAATTGTTACTTGTTAAAATCACTGAGAAAAAATATCTAAAGTTACAACTCTGACATATAAATCTGCCAGCTATATCCACATCCCTTAACTTCTAAGCTTCATAACTTTTCAAATTGTCTTTATAATATGTCCTCAGAAGTCAGAAGATTTTACCTGATGTAACAGTGGTGTAACAGGATCATCTCTTCTGTCGAGCACCAGTAGTTGTGGCGGTGGTATATCACCATTGAATGGTATGTTATTATCCATCAACACTGCCTCTCTTCTCATCAGTTCCTTAATCCTTTCAGCGAGACGTGCACAGGCTTCAGAGCCAGCTTCATATCTGATGATTGGACGTCTCTTGAGGGACAGCAGTAGAGCCAACAGACCCTGAGAACACCGCTGGAGGTGATGCTGGTTCCATGAACGACCTGGAAATATAAGTTTAACTGATAAACCTATAAACAATGTGTAGTATTCAATAAAACTATATTAAATTTGTCATGTATGTATAGTGCTAAGCAGCAAACTGGATGATAGAAACTAATATAATAATCTATCTGCATTACACAGGGCATCATATTATTATTGTAACAATAACAAGCAAGTATAATTAATACATAACAAAATGATTCTTAAACAGCTCAAGAATTTTCAGCAATTTGAAGTTTAAGATATGTTCTCTTATCAAAACTATTAGCATAATCAGTGTGTTTCTCATAATACAGAAATCATTTGTTTATAATTATATATTGAAATGTAATTTAAAAAATAAAGATTTTGTGTATTTTTACAAAAAGTGACAATTACAATAAATAAGTGGCCAAGTACAATAGTATTCAATCTCTTGAGACATAACATGAAGTTGGAAGAACTAAAAGAAAACATAAATTTTTGTAGACATGCAGGTCCTAATATCATTTTAAGATATTTGTCATATTTATGTAAACCTATGTATCAGATTTATATATCTATATTACAAAGATAATACATATAATTTTTACCATGTAAGCAACCAACAATATTGAAAGAGAACAAGTGTCGGTCTACAGCCAGGTAGTCAGCAAACACCTCCTGAACCTCACGCACTGTCTCCTGCTCATCACACTCAGCTAATGTCTTGATATCAGCCTTGGAGACAACATTGCTGAAGTCTATAAAAAATAATATTTATATTTACAATTATAACCCATATCCAACTGCTTAAATATAACAATAAGTAACTATACTCACATATAAAGTAAACACCATACTTCGGGCTTTTCAACTCCCGTGAAAGTAATGCAATATTTTCAGAAGTAGGCCTCAGGAATACAATGCATTTCATATGTTTTAGGTCATCCCATTTCGTGTGACTGTCAATCCTTTCAAAAAGGTAAACCTCCTTTTGGAGTATTTCAGATTGGCTGAATACCATACTGACTATGCTGGTCTAAAAACGAAGTATATTTTAAACAGTAATAAATACTATAAAAATTTGTATTTTGGAATTTTCCTTGTGTATTTTTTAAAGCTTCTATGTATAAACAGTATAATTCTTACTGTTTCTTTATCCATAAGTATAACTTTCATTCCAGGTCCACTCTCTTCTGTCATTTTTATTATATACATCTTAACAGCTTGAATTACGTTCATTTTTGTTTTATAAAGTTATTAATTCTATATGAAATTACTGGATGAGTTTTATTTCAATTAATAAACTACTTCAAAAACACGGCATTAAAATATTAATTTAATATTGAATGTCAAACGTCAAATCAGTAATCACCTATGTCACAACCCTGTCTTTTTTATTATGTTGTACGGCTTCATTCACACTGACAATATGGGTTATTTTTTTTTGTATCATAATAATAACATAAAAGGTAAAATACAGGAAATGAAAACTGTGACAGAGATTGGCTAATAAAATAATGGCATTTATAAAGAATCCACGGTTAATTACGTTTCTGACCAGCACTAGTAACAAATAAAGAAAACAATAAATAGAACCCTAAATAGAACAGTAAAATAGAATGTAATAAATTTGAAAGCTAAATCCCAAGTTTGAAATTATAATTTTTTTATTTTATTTCCATATCAGAAAATAGTATTATTTAATAGGGCCTACAAATGCCCTGTTAAAAATACTAAACATCTAGTCTGCTCGTGGTGTACACGGATGGAGTAAATCATTAGAAATGTAAGTCCTTCATCTAATTGGCATTCACAAAATCAGAGAACTTGTGTCTAGTTTGATCCCTGAAAACTACAGTACTAACATGAATAATTCTTGGAAGACTTATTGTAAAAGTTAAAAAATTCAAATTATTTTTCACTGCCCCTCAAAAATTTTGGAAGCTGGTTTATAGCGAAACTTCAAGTCATATAAACTGATTGATTATATTGTATTTGGAATTCATTTCTAAAGATTTTCATTTATACTTAGTTATAAAATATTATAAAGATTTTATATTAAAGATTTAAAAGAATTGAAAGTTAGGTATGTTGAAGAAGTCAGGATTCGAGGTGGGTATAAATTTTAAAAAAATATTTAAAGATGGATTCGATGTTTTGGTTAAAGATTTTCAATTAGTTTACTTAACATATTTATTAAGGAAAGTGAAAGAGGCATTGATTGGTTAAATATTGTAATAAGAGTCCTATCGGAGGTTCTACATTTTTTATTTTTATGACATTAGTAGAACAAGTTGTCACTGCACATCAGTGCAACGTATCAACGTTACTATACAATACTAAAATATTAAGATTGGATTTTGTTTGATTATGTATATTGATTTCCTAGTTTATATATATAATAAATATAATAGTCCTTTGGGTCTAGGTCCGCATAAGCCCTATTCGATGTGGCTATATAAAATTGCTACAAATATAATATTTTTTACAGCAATTGTGGCGACACTAACTTAACCTTCGTTTTAACTTCAATATGTGGTGTTTTTAATAATACAAGTACTTTTATTATCTTCCTTTTCTAATAAGATTTCATTTACTTGTCAAATAAGATTTCCCTCATTATTCGATTGCATATCAATGCAATCGAATAATGTGTGTTGCCGTTTCGAATCGTAAGAACTTTTGAATCAGTATTTGCAAGCATACTGCTCATGAAAGTATGTGTTATTTAATATTTTTATTTAGGTACATATTGTACCTAAATAAAAATGTATGATTTAAATTGTAATAACATTATACAAGAGGTATAACTTAAATTGTAAAGCTGGTTTTAAATTATGTAGTTGTAAATAAAACAACTACTGGCAACTGCTACGTAATGATGTAATCTTGATTGATGATTCTTGTAGAGTCACATCACTAGTTATCTACCAAAGGTCGGACGGGTCGACTGGGACGTGTAATTTTTGGATAAATTTTTCAATAGTACTGCTATAATTTACCTTGCAATATGTTCTCCCGCACGCTAAAGCCTGTCGCTTCTGTGACTATCCAGAATGGTTTCAAAAATTTCTCCACTTCACCCCAGGTAATTGTATACAAATTATTTCGCCCAGCAAATTATATTGTTTATGAAGAGTATTAATAATTTTTACTTTGCAATGAACAGAAAAACTTCAAAGTGGTGGTTGCTGGAGCGGCTGGTGGAATCGGTCAGCCCTTAGGTCTACTGCTGAAGCAGAATAAACTAGTCACAAATCTAGCACTATATGACATTGCCCCGGTGACCCCGGGAGTGGCTGCTGACTTGTCCCACATGGACACCCCGGCCAAGGTCAGCGGACACAAAGGACCAGAACAGCTAGCTGATGCCATCAAATGTAAGTTTATTAGTTAATTTAACTTTGTCTTCTATAACTCAACTGTCAAAGTGTTACATAACATGTTTTTCTAACCTATGCTGATAGCTGATAAAATATATGTTCTGATATAAATTTCTATTATTAAGAATTGCTTAAGAAGGATCTTTATTAAAATGGTCATAGTACATATAATATAGCTTAAGTTCTTGAGCTATAGTGTAAATATGCATAGTAAATGAATAATTTTAATAAATTAAAGTGTGATTCCAATAATTAACCTCAAGGTTTTATTGAATCTATAATATAAATGTCTGTTATCTAATCTCACGGAGAGCAATTTGTATCAATTGTTCTCGTAATATTTCCGTCTTATCTTTAATACTTCTCTATGAAACTAGATATCTTATATATTATAACTAAAAATGTTCTAAAATTTTATTTATTGCATTCCCTTGTATTGCAGTATACAAATTTATTGTATCCAATTAAAATTATTGCTTCATGCGTCTTATGTTACTAATTTAGATTTTAAAAAGACTAAAACATTTTTATATATTTATTCTTACAAATGAATAATATTGTTGTATCTGATGACATTAAATGAAAAATTACATATATTAAATAACATGAAAGTTACATATTTACATATTTAAATTGATGTCATAATTATCAAGTTATTTTCAATAGATTATTTTATAACTGTTATTTCTAGTAAATATGTATTGTAATCATAATGTTGGTATCTTTTTTGTCTTTAATTCAAGTTATTAAAATGGATTACATATCATTAATTTTCCTTTCAATTTACTTGAGGACACCGCATCTATTAAAATCACTTCATCCTTAAAAATTCTATGTATTTCCTTATAAATAGTGATGATACCTATGATTAACATATTCTCAATCAAATTTTTGCTTAAACTGTAATAATCGAAATTATGCATACAGATGATCTCTAAGTCAAAAATAAATATCTTAAGTACTGTTATGTGGAACTGTTAGAAACTGATACATATGTATATATTTGTGTATACAGGTGCCGATGTAGTGGTAATCCCAGCTGGTGTTCCCCGCAAGCCTGGTATGACTCGTGATGACCTGTTCAACACTAATGCTTCCATCGTCCGAGACCTGGCCGCTTGTATTGCTGAGAAATCTCCAAAGGCTCTTATAGCCATCATCACCAACCCTGTTAATTCTATGGTCCCCATTGCCTCCGAAGTTTTGAAGAAGGTAGGATGGATGTTTTGAGTTATTTAAGAAACACCTTGTTTATTTGTTGCCTTATATTTAGCATGTTGTTGTAAAAGTTGCAATCTCTATAACAAAGGGAATACAGGCTGATGAATAATATTTGTATTGTAATTTGACATAAACATGAAGGAAAAGTATATGCTTTAGTAATGTACCCAAAAATATATTAAAATAAATTATTGTGTTTATATAAATGTTTGATCGCCTTAATAATAATTAATTCATACAATGTGATTAGTGCAAGATTTATATATAATGTTGCACTATAACCGAATGTTAATAAAATTGTTAAAAAAGGTATAAATATTAATAACTTTTTCTTATAACACATATAGATAACTGTGTTTCAGATATTTTAGTTGAATATTGTTTCAGGCGGGTGTATATGACCCTAACCGTGTGTTTGGTGTGACCACTCTGGATGTAGTCCGTGCTGCGGCCTTCATCGGCGAAATCAACGGTGTGGACCCTGGATGTGTGTCGATCCCAGTTATTGGAGGTCACTCCGGGGTTACCATCATCCCAGTACTGAGTCAGTGCCAACCCGCTGTCAAACTATCCGATCAAAGCAAAATAGAAGCTCTCACTAAGAGGATCCAGGAAGCCGGCACTGAGGTAGCATTGTTTTAAATCGCTTGTATATATGTATTTTGTTGGATAAGTAGATAGCAAAACTTTTTTAAAACGATGAGTTAAGATACAACTTATTATAAACGACGCTGAATCCATTTTTTTAATTAAACCTACTAGCTGTCCATACAGCTAGTAGGTTTAATTTAAAAAAAACAAAATAACTCGATAAATTCGAGTTTATTTCAATTGACTTATAACTAGAACTTTACATGCAGTTTTGGTTTACTTTACTCACAAATGAAATCAGTGAAGTGTGGTCTAAGTAAATCAGGGGTTCCGACACTTATTTTGTCTTCTGCCCACTTTGAGAATAAATAATTTTTTAGCGCCCCTCTTTTGCACCTACTGAAAAACCGATATAACTTGTCCTAGCTAAATGAAATTACAAAACACTCCGAGGCTTCTATTTTATCTTGGTCTCTTAGGCCTGCAGAACCCACAAGGTGGCCTTATATAGCTCACTTTGGGAAAAACTAAATGTAAATAATTCTAGATTAATAATGTATGTATAAATTAATACTCATATTTAATATATTGTTATCAGGTAGTGAAGGCCAAGGCTGGTGGTGGATCAGCGACGCTGTCGATGGCATACGCCGGTGCAAGACTTGTATGCTCCCTGCTCAGGGGTCTCAATGTAAGACTTTGGATTTATATCTTACTATTTGGCGAAGAACTCATAAAACTCATCATTCTTATAATTAAAACTTTCAGAGAATAAATTCCAAGTGATACTATAAAGTTTTTAAAAAGTAGTCAATAAAGTTGTTTCTTTTCTTATTCTCAGGGAGAATCAAACGTGATTGAGTGCGCCTATGTCAAATCTGATCTGACTGAGGCCTCATATTTCGCGAACCCGCTTTTACTTGGAAGAAATGGATTGGAGAAGAATCTTGGCTTCGGTAATCTTAACGATTACGAGCAGGGGCTCCTCAAGGCCGCCATCCCTGAACTACTGAAGAACATCAAGACCGGAGAAAAATTCGTCAATAAGTAACTAGCATCTGACTTAAATTTAATTTAGTGCAGTATTTAAGTATCTAAAGTGAAGGTCATCTCGACAAAGAAAGGCAGATGTTAGAAATTTCTGTTCGAGTGCATTTTAAGATTGTGTGTTCTGAGTCACTTAGTGACTCAAAATTCTCCAATTATATCAATAAAATGAACTTGTAATAAAAAAATGTTTTATTTATTTATAATTACTTACATTTTAAATTAAACCTTTACTATCTTCATCAAACTAAAAAAGATCTTTTACATTTGGAGGAACTGAGAGTTTGAGAAAGGTTTTATCAAGATACAGTTAATATGTTTTTCCTAATACATACTCTATAAAGTCACCAACCTTTGAAGCAAACAAAAAGAAAACCTCAAGGTCACAGTTCTCTAGAGCACAATTCCGCATTAGGATCCCAAGACTTCACGAAGGAACATACTCTCCGATAGATGCGCAAGTGCGATTGTTTCTCATAAAACTCAATGTATATTTCCACCATAAGAAGAACTAAATACGCTGAGAACACGGTCACTCCAGTCCATGTTCGTTCTCTTGGATTTAAGTAGCTCACTCGTCGATTATGCATACTGTATGGCGATTTGGCAAATAACCAATTACTATTTGGGGATACATTCCATCATACAACTGACATTTACAAATCAACGCCATAGTTCGGCCATTTTGTATAAAATATTTACAATCTTAGACAACTGAATAGAATAGAAATTGAGTAGATTGAAGGAATCTCTGGATTCTGGATGGATTGTGGAAAAGATGAAATATGTAGTCCTAAGTGTGAAACAAAACTCTTATCAGCGGATAAGAGGTTTGAAACAAATACATATTAAATGATAAATTACTCACAAAGTGCCAGATCCCACGCAGAAATTCCAAAAGTTTCTGCTAAATAGCTCACAATATGATATTTCTTTTAAATTTGGGAATATATCGAAACTTAATTTAAAACTTACCATTAATAGTATAAAAAATAATAAAGAGATTAGTATTATGAGATCTAACATTTTCGCGAGTCTTATTCATTTAAATGAAACAAATATTTTTGGATGTACTACGCGATTTTATTTTTGATAAAAAAACTACATATTCCCTACGTTCCGGCTACTTTACAGCAACGGTGTTCACGGGCAGACAAGATCATCTCGAAAGCGAGGATATGTGGTTTATCAAACCGAATGTAGTAAGTAGCCAGGTTTGTCCAATGTATGTTCACAAACTGCTGACTTCGACGCGCGCCTATTTTTGATGTCCGAGATGTGTTCTTTAACCCTTGTACCGATGCTTCTCTTTGTCTGTCCCATGTATGACAAGCCACAGTCACAATCAAGTTTGTATACACCCGCTTGTTGTAAAGGAATATTCCACTTGATCGTTCTCAAGAATTAGCTCACTTTCTTGTGTGGTTTGTAAATAGTCTTGATTGAAACATTCTTCAAGATGTTGCCTATTCTGTCAGTAACTCCCTTCACATATGGTAGTATCGCAGATTGTCGATCAACTGTGGGTGGCTTCAAATGGTTCTTGCGATGCTGACGAGGCACGGGCAGGTTTTTGATGGTCAAAGCATGTTTTCCATGCTGCAGCTCGGCCTGTAGGTGGTCAGCATCACAAAGGTGTTGTGCTCTCTGTAACAAACATTTGCTAACGGTAGCTAACTGTATAGGGTGGTGGTGTGAGTTATCATTGAGATATCTATCGGTATGTGTGGGTTTCCTAGAAACAGTATGTCTAGAAGTATTGTTAGGATTCCTAAAGAAAGCTAAAGAATTATTATTTGCCTCTAATTCTAAACTGAATCTTGCTATTGATAGAATTAAGATGGTTTAGAAAAGCAGATGTTTTATTTTTAGTTAATATTGTGAAGGTGTCATCTACATACCGTTTATATATTAAAGGTCTTATTGGAGGAGAGCAAAGGGCTCGCACCTCGAAGTCATGAATATATCTGCGACAACAGGAGAAACCGGTGAACCCATTGCAACTCCGTTTACTTATATGTTTACTTGGGAGTATGTAGTTTTTTTATCAAAAATAAAATTGCGTAGTACATGAGATTAATATTAGTTTCATTCAAAAGTATATAGTAGGTATTATTATAGTATTATTTTTATTATTAATTTTTTAACAATCGAACAAACTGATACTCTAGGAATTTTAATAAAATAATATAGTTGTTCACTAGTAGTGTATATATAAATGAAAGGTTATGAAATAAATGGATGAATTGTAAATAAAACACAACATAATAGATTTGCATCTTATTTATTGATCTGTCCTCCCAAAACTTTGTTTTTGCTTACGATTGGGCTTACATGGATTATCTTTTGTTTCGACTACTTACAATACGTTACATTTTAAAAAGAAATCACAAGTGAGTCGCCGCCGCACGCCCCCGAGCGCGAACGTTCAGACAAAATTAATTTAATCAGTCGTTTTTACACAATATTTGAAAACATGTACATCACACCTGCTTGCGTATCTAACCACTACCATCAAAGAATTGATTTCAAAGTAAATTAAAACATTTTTAGTACATCAAACATATTAAAAATGTCCAGCAACAAATAAGAATGTGTAAAACGATATACTTATAACAATATTACTATATATATTTATAAGGTAATGTTTGAGACGCACGCAGTCAAAATAATACAAAACAAAATGCTCAAAGGCGAACGGCAGCGCTCTTCACGGACTGATACATACATGCATGCACGTGCATACACGTACACGCACACAACACACACACATACACACAAACCCATACGAACAGGCGCTAGCACGCACATACTCACACGCATTCATAGCCCGCTTCCGTTCAATATTTATACTCGGTCGAATAGACCAACCTAACTAGAAAAAGAAAATCTCTATCATAGTCATTACTCTAAACAGTATAATTACAAATGCACAGTATGTATACATAATAACCATACACTTTTACATCAATATGTATATTATCGTTTCATAATCCGAAAATCGTGTTTACACTATGTATAAGGGGTCTTAACAGTTCTTAGGGCATCCGGGAGCACGATCCGGACTTCGCTGCGGGCAAATTTATACACAGACAAACGGATGCGATATTTACACGAAACGATCGATGAAAATTAAACTACGCGTAGACTAAATCAGGTGAAAGGTGCGACAGCGAAATCCGAAGCAAAGCTACGGGAAATAATAAACTTACATAAAGCTAGAGGCGACGCCGCCCGTGGAGCGAGGGAACAGTGAAATGTACGGGCACGGTCGTCTGTACAAACTATACATAATTTACAAGTACTTAGGTAGATATGGACGAAGTCGCACGGCGATCCTACACTACCGGTGTTATGATGGAAGACGGGGTAGACACATGTGGCTATCATCAGGCTGCTACGGAAAATGACAGAGGGACGAGCTGCAGCAGTGTTCCCATACAAGGATTACACGACAAGCCAATACCGGACGCCACGCTCGGAAATATAGGGAGGTGGTCGAGAGTAGTCGAACATCGATACATCAACAGACATTAAAATGTTACATTACAATTATATAATACACCAAATAGTCCTCGCATCGGGTTCTACATCGATAGTGAATATAGAGGAACGTCGCACGGAACCTCCGTAGTATTAGACGAAACAACAAATAAATAACGATACAATATTAACAGGTCCTTCCTTAGTCCACTACTAGCACACGACACAGGAGACGTCGTCGTTCAATATTCAAGGGGTCGGAGGCGGGCGGGCTCGTCGGATGACGGACCGCCGCACACGGCGCTACGGGGGCGCCATGCGCGCTCCGCCTCGGGGACGTCAGTCCTCGTCCGACAGCGGCTCGTACTGAGCAGACATGAGCGGAGCGGGCTCGGGCTGGCCGCCGCCCACGGACACGGCCACGGCCGGCGGGTCCAGCTGGGCGGAGGCCTGGGCCGGCGGAGGAGCCGTGGGCGTCGCCACGTTCAGGGCCGAGTAGGGGTACGCGTAGGCCGTGGGGAAGGTGAGCGGCTTGGCGCGCTCGTCCGAGTCACTCCGCATCACCTCCACAATGCGAGTCTTTACGTAGTCGTAGGCCGTGAGGACCCCACCGCCCACGCCCACGCCGACCGCGCTGTACCGACGACCGCCTGCCCCCGCGCCGGTCCCGCCACCGGCCGAGCTGCGACTGAAACACGATACCCAATATTATAAAGTCTAAACGAAATATCTATTAAATGTTATACGAGCATGGTGTATGTATTACTAACCCTGAGTGATGATTGTCCGGAGGCGACACTGGCTCCAGGTAGGGAGCGTGTTTGGGAGCCTCCCTCCTCCACTCCTCTGCTTGTCCTCCGCCGGCGGCCGCTCCTCCTCCCGCTCCGCCGCTGGTGTACGAGTCGGCACTCGACACGGCAAAACGATTATTGGTACTAAAAATACATTAATTTATTTAATAAGAGAAAAGATATAAGAGTTTTATTGAATAAATATATAAAAATGGTTTATTATAAAGCTAGGAGGATCACTTACTTATGGTGCATGAGTGCAGTGGTGTTCGGGCTGCTGAAGTCTCTGACTATGATGTTGGAAGCGAGATCGCCGAGTTTGATGCTAGTCGTGTGTCCCGGCGGCTCCTCCCTCTCTCCGTCACGAGGCATGTCCCGGGACAGTTCGCGGGGCAGCTCCCGGGGCAGCTCGCGGGGCATGTCTCGAGGCAGGTCTCTCGGGAGCTCGGGCTGCTGAGAAGTTTCATTTTCACGTATTATCTTCTGGAAGCAACCAGTTCAGATATGAGCTACTCCGTAATAGGGTTTGTTGTATTCTGCTAACAGGATCATACTCACTGGTGGAAATCGTTGATCACTGGATTGGTTTATCTGGTGCGTGATAATGGCGTTGATGAGCGAGGCGGCCGTGAGCGTGCCGTCTCCTGGCCGTGCGCGGTCCGCCGCGGCCCCGCCTGTGCCCACGCCCGCGCTCACGCCAACACCGGCGCCCACGCCAGAACTCACGCACACGCTAGTGGGTGTGCTGACGACCGTGCTCATGATGGGGACGCTCGTAACACTCACAGTTGGCCGACTGGGAATTAACATTTTGATAATAAATAAATAATTATAATAATATACAACATCTTAAATATATATTAATGTGCACATACCATTCTTTCCTTTCCATGGGATGTATCTGCCTCTTGTTAGTCGTATTATAATTGCCACTACTCGACCGACGCTCCTCGCTCGAGGATACGTTCTGCTGCAAAGGTACAATAAATTAATTACTAAATGACTATATATGAAATTGTCAATATAGTCAAGGTCGTCATTTCACCTGGCCATGGTTTAAGTGGTGTCTGTCAATCATCATCTGTTGCTGTTGCTGTTGATGTTGATGATGCTGCTGTTGCTGCTGCTGCTGGTTGTGCTGCCCGTGAGGGTTGTGTGGGTTATGTTGCTCGATCACGTAATGGCGTTCTTGGATAGGTACCATGCGCTCCCGACTGTAATGGATTTTGATAATCAGGTTCGTTTTGTGTTTATTTAGATTTCCTTGGTGTATTTTTAATTTATATAAATATATACCTGTCTCTGGGCGGAGCTCGTCTATCCGTCGAGTACTGTGCGTATTTTTGAGCCATAGCAAATTCCCGGGGTCCCCTGAAATTAATATAATTTTAGGAATTGCTTCGTAAGACCCTAGTTTATGGTAACTTTGAATCATTAAAATTATGCAATGACATATTCTTTACTTGTATAGTTCGTTCATTAAGTTATTTATTTTTTCTTATATCAAGTGGTGTGACTGTTCCAGTATATGTATATATAATTGTTACCGGATCTGTTCGTGTTGTTGATGGTGCTGCTGGTGCTGGTGGTGCTGGTGATGCTGCTGGTGGTGTACGGGCGGCGACGCAGGTTCCTCCCTCCGGGGGACGGGGAGGGCGGGCGCCGCTGACGCCGCGTTCACGAGAGACGTGAACGCCTCGTGACCTGAAGTTAAGGATATTCATTAATATATAATGTATTAGTGAGGTGAGGAGTAATATAAGTGACATGTTAGTATACTGACCGGGCGGTGGATGTGAGTACGTGTGTGTATGTCTCTGTATAACGGACACACTGTCTCTGTCCCGCCGGTGGACGAGCTGTCCGTGCTGCGCGTGCTGTGCGTGCTGCGCGTGCTGTCCGTGCTGAGCGTGGGGCTGCTCGCTGCGTCTGGCCCCACCGTGCATCTGCTGCGACGTGATAAAGTCCGTCAGCATGATCTGCCGCCGCTCGTGACCGTACGGACCTCGAGACACCGCGCCCGTACTCGGCTGCTACAGAACAATTTACGATATCACAATGTTCCCAACGAGCCCTTACATTATATTGAATCTTACTATACTTTAGTAGTGTTAATTGAATCCAAGTAACCGCGCTGTTTGCTTAGAACGTGTTATAGTACCATCACTTATTAATAGGTTCTTGTAATTATTGTAGTGAACTATTAAATCCGTTATAAAATCTATATATTTAACAACTTCTTATAGACGAGTCTAAATGACAAGATGTATTACGTTTGAGAAGGACGGTGACTGCGGCCGAGGCTGGCTGGAGGCGGCCGAGTATGCGTATGCTCCCCCCGGGCTCCTCCTCTTGTAGTAATCGAAGTTCCTCTTCTCCGGGAGATGGTGTGGCGCATGGACCGGGGTGCCGGCAGTTATAGAACCGGTCTTGGGGTCAGACTGCATGCGCTGCGTCTCGAAACGAGACTCGACTGGGGTTCCCAGTGTGATAGAACCTTTTTGGTTGGTTGGCAACTTGAGAGCCTGTCTGGGGGACGCGACCGGCTTCGGCTTGGAATTGTACTGCGTCGGAGATTCACGCTCCTGGGCTCGGTACGGCGAGTATTCAGTGTTCCGGTGCGCTTGTTGCTGTTACAGAAGATAGCTTTAGTTTACACATACTTACATAATAAACGGTACGGAAAAGGATTTTTCTATTACGGTATAGTAATTTCGAAAAATAATTATTTAGCGGCAAGATTGACGACATGTTAACATTTTAAGGGTGCTGTCCTATCGATAGACAGTAGTTAGTTATCATCGAGTGTCAGTTACCGGTTTCGGCGGGTCATGTCGTGGTCTCTTGACGCTGAGATCGAGCAGTGACTCGGGTGCGCGTGGCTCTATATGCAGCACCATGAGGTCCTTGTCCGCCAGCGGCGTGATGGTGGCGCGCTGTGGAGACCGCGGGGAGTGCTCGTGACCAGCACCGCTCACTACCGTCAGAGTGGCTAGGGACTCGTGACCAGAAGATACCTGGGATATGCGAGGACGGACTGTGTTAATAAATCATGGGGAAATCAGAACCTACGTTGTGTGAATGAATTTCACTACTTATATATACTAAGATTTAAGTAGTATGTAGATATTATAAAGTAAAGACGTAGTGAATAGTGAATGTGGTATGGTAACGAATGTGCATCAAATTCCTTTCTTACATAAGTATGTACTAATGTACTAAAGGTGGTAGTAATACTTTCAATGAATTATTTAGTAACAAAACCCGCTTCTTACATTAACCTTGGGCGCCTGGTGCATAGAGTGTGTGTGCGGCAGCGGTGGCGGGCGCGCATTCTTCATGAGGCTGACCTCGATCATGTTGAGGACCACGTCGCGGACCGTCAGAGGCCCGGAGCCGTTACTTCCCGCTCCAGTCGTGGAGACCCCAGTGACCCCGGTGACCCCAGCCACAGTCGTAGTGCCCGACACTCCTGTCACCGTCACCCCCGGCGGCACCGTCGTCACCCCAGTGGTAACTGATACTGCGTTCACACTCTAGAAAAACAACAAATGTCAGTAATGTGCTTTTTTATAATTTAATTCAGAGCCATCAGTTCCCAATAAAAGCCGTACCTTAGTACTGGGTGCGTCGTTCTCCTCGTCGGCCGTCTCTGTGGCCGATGAATCATACTCGTCTCTCCTGTGTCTGCGGGGCGCCACGGCGTCGGTCCGGGGGCCTGGGAGCGGCGGCGGGCGGGGAGACTCGGCGCTCGCGGTGTCCGTGTCTCCCGAGCTCAGGATACTGTCGTCCGTGTCGCTGCCTCTGGTCGGATTCCTCTCGCTTATCAAAGTATCTAGTTGCAGTTTCTTCCTGTACGTGAAGTAGAACGCCTTCAGGCTGGCCGGCGTCCTTCCGCTAGCCGTGGACATCCTCTCCCAGGCCGTGCCGTGCTCCCTCAGAAGAGCTCTGAACCTCGCCGCTTCATCTTCGGTCGGTTCCGGGGCAGATCCGCCCTCTCCTATCGTGTCCAAACGACGTGTAATCCTTTTGAAACAGGTCAGACAGCACTTGCTGAGATCGCTCGGTATCTCTACAAAAACGTATTAACAGGTTATTTCCTATGTAATTATAATTTACATGATTTTGAAGAGGTTAAATAATTACGGAATTCATCCATGATAGGTCTCTTCAGATCTAGCGGCAGGTCGTGCCAGCGTGGCGGTAGGTGTCTCAGTCGCTTGACTCTCGGTCCAGCACAGGATGGTACCGTGCACCTGCTCCGGCGAGCTCTCACACACCGGCAGTGACAACCCTCACACACGCGGGCCCCCACAACCGACGGATCCAAGCCGTATTGAGCTGCCTGTGAGGGAGCCACCGCCCTGGTCGCCGCAGACACCGAACATACCGAGCACGTACTGCTGACAGGCGTCAGGGTGGTAGTGGTGCTCGCGACGGTGGAAGAAGACGCGCTGGTGGCCTCTGTTACCGCTGTACACGAAGGTATACATTAAAATTAAAATCGACGTAGATAAACAACAGCTAAGAACGGGATATAAATGTCTTATATAAAAAACAATAATAATCGATAGTGGTCCGGTACATTGAATCTATTCCGAAAGCGAGTAATCTCCGTTCGGCGGATCACAGTACAATTAATCCGCATCGAAATCCGAATGGCGCTAAACAATTAAACATTTAGCTGCATCGGAGATAATGCAAGCATCTGGATCAGCTCCAATATTCAGGACGTGGCTACATTTGCAGAGCGACGGATTATCGAAGCGGCTGGCAGGCTCCCCTTAATCCCCACATATATTATTTACGATTCAACCTTACTGTTGTTGTCGGTTGTGTGTTTTAATACGCGATTGACCTGTTTAATGATTTACCTGTGTAACCAACGTTTCACTAATCTCAATTATATAAAACGGTTATACTCATTAGACGATTCGAGGTATGCGAGTCGGTCTAACAAAGTTTTAGAGCAAGTAACAATTAAATGCATCCCGTCAATTAAACAGAGTTGCACTTTGAGGGATTCGTTTGCTTTGATAATAGTTAGTTTGGGAGTTTTTCTGTGAACTAACTTACTCTCTGTAACGTAACAGAACTTCGAGAACAGAGAGATCTAATTATATTATTAACACAATTTGTCCAGTTAGTATTAAGTTAATATATTTAAACCGTTTTTAAATGTATATAAAAATGTTAAACGCCGAGGCCGATAGGTTCTTAGATTTAATGAAATAAATTTAAAAGTCAAACATCATTTCATAATTAGTAGCATTTACAAACGCCATAGAAAAACATTAATTAATATTGAAGATAAAGTTCTCATTTGAAAATTGTATATCCAACAGATATAAACGCGGCCTCAGTGTCGATTAATCTACCAATTACTGATATTTGAACAAGACCTAATTGGATCCAACTCTACGTTTTATTCCATGTAATTATACTCGGCTTGATTTTGTGCTAATTAGAGTATTCTAAAAATGGCGCCCGACGTGGGACTGTGACTATTAAATTGTAGCATATTAAAAAAAGAAGTATTATACCTATTTAGAAAAATATTAAATATAAAGAAATTTATGTTATAAAAAAATATATCATGTAAATCGTATAAAATATAGTTAGTACTAAAGACAATTTTGTTAGCTTTTATTTTAAATATGAAGTTATTTTCAACTCAAATATGAAGTGCAAACCATGGAAAATCTTTGTATGTAATGCTATCATAGTCTTGATTTACGTATTGTATGTATATGTACTTTGTAAATAATTCTGTATTAATAAAATGTAAACAAATGATATTGAGAGCCGTATCATAAAACAGCACCATATAACCGATATAACCGCAGGTGACGTGACAATTTAACTCGTCAAATATTCGTTGGTTCATAACATCATGTATTTGCTTGTTATGCGGAGCGTGTCATTTTAACGAGCCGCTGACAGGATTGTTTGTTCACCGCAAACACGGGAGACGACATCTTGTAGATTAAACGCTACGAGCCGACAGACGAGACGTTTATTATATTAATATATATTATTATACACTGTACATATAAATTAATTACGTATTGTATTGTGTGAATGATCTGTGATGATGAAGAGTCGCCAGCCAGTCGGCAGCGAGACGGAGTATCATCATGGGTATACTGAATGTATGTACAAAGGTCGTAACTATTTTCAGGTCTCGAGTCCCATTTGATTCAATTGTCACGCCGGCTACAAAGGCGAGGGTAGTCCGACTGATTTCGTATTCCGTGTGAAGGATTACCGTGACGAGGTAAGCTTACAGCTTACTGTTATTTTGATGTTTGAAACCTATATAAATATATTTCATACTTAACATTCTATTTAATAACCTTCTCTTTTGTTCCTATATTAATCGATAGGCTACGATTGTTTATCGTTATAAAGGTCGAGTTATTATTCGTAATAATTTATATATTCCGTCCGTCTTGTACAAATTGACATCTTCTGTACATTAATTGAATATAAAAATGTAAGAAGCACCTCGGGGGGGATAATAGCGTTGAATAATAAAGTACGAGAGAAAGGAAATTGTTGATTTTCTTTTGACGATTGAGTGAATATTAAAAAAATATATATTATATATACATTCTATTTCATTGTTGTATCAGTTATAATAGACTTTAAAAGGCTTTGTTTAGTTTCATGGATGATTTCATAAAAGTTTTAAAAACGAAACAAAGTAATATGTTTACCATACGTAACGGTAATCAATGGTGACTTTGAGAGAGCACACTACGGACGTCCACTGGGCTTTCGAATGAAAAATTCAATTGTGAATGACTTTGTTGACTTAATATATCAAAGCGAGCTGTTCAATATATGAGTCGACAAATCCAATGATAGTCGGGTCGTAGTGTATAAAGTTAGCGCAATCCGCATTTCGAGCGGATGTATCTTAGACATGATCGTTAATTATCTTAAAATCTCAAGCAGCTGTAACAAAGGACGGTTATGAATAGCGGTTAGATTCGGTGTTTAAGTCTCAATGGAGCGGCGTTGAACAAGCTCCACCCCGGGGAGTCCCGGCTGAAACGACTGTTTGAACAGTACAGCATAGACACTCCACTTGTTATAACACAAGAATATTGCATCGCCATTGTGAGCTATTCACAAAAAATATATTATACTATAAAGACTTTCTATGAAGAACGAATTAAAGCATTGAGGACGAGTTACGTACTGAGAGGTCTGTCTACACGGACCCGGCCGCCGTGAAAACGTACATCTATTATTCCGTCATTTACAATACATTAATTTAAAAAATTAATATTAATATTTGCATCGGAGTAAATTTGCATCGGTGGTACTCCGCGGGCTATATAAGGGCGCGTCGGGCCCGCGGCGCTCAGTCCGCTGTCGGTCGGAGAGTCAGCATGTTGTCTCTGTATCGCGCGTGGCTCGGCCCGAGTCCGTGCGTGGCTCGGCCGGCTCCTCCACCGGGTGCCCACCGGCCGGTGCCGAGGCGGGCGAAGCTCCCGTCCCCGCCCGCCTCCCCGCCGCCGCCCTCGCCCTCCTCCAGCACCTCCAGCGAGCTGGACGTCGAGCGTGTCGAGGCCCCGGAGCCTCCTAAGCGCAGCGGCGCCGTGCTGGACATAGCGTCCTGCGACGGGCCGGTGCAGTTCAGCCGGGTGCTGAACGCCGCTTACCGCGAGCCCCCGGCGGAGCGCTGGCGGGCCCGCCGAGCTGTCAGACCTCCCCTACACTACTACCCGTGCAAGAGCTGCGGCTGCAAGTTCCCGTCCTACTACTTCGTGCACAAACACCGCAAGCGTTGTCACGCGGACGAACCCAACCCTATGCCGGAGTCAAGACAGTCCCCGGAGCCGTCCACCTCCAGCGCCTAGTGGGAACGATAGGACGGAGGGTCCCACGCGACACGGACTCATCATATCTAGGCATTTGTTAAAATATATGTTTAAGTACGAAGCGGTGTTTTATTTATTTGTATGTATTTAACCCTTCGAAGTTAAGGCACTGAACACCCTAATAAAACTACTTAAAGTTTAATTCTTCCATAAAATATTGAGAAAAATATGTTTACAATACTGCAATACAAAATGTTAAGATAAAAAGTGAAAGAATCAAAATGTTTGAGGACGCCCTCGCAATCATTGTATTTATTTTGATCTCGTAACATAATAGTTCTTTAGTTACATCACATTATAATATTTTATAACAAATATTTTTGACCTTAACACAACTTTCAACTTTAAAGTGAGTCGATTATTGAACGAATACTTTATTATTCATACAAAACGAACTACAGAAATCAGTTGTCTTTCAACAAATATGTGACACGAAGTGTTGAAAATTTAAACTGTAAAAATTGTTCTATCAAAACCTCTAAGTATTAAATTAAGATACAGTTAAGTATGAAGGATATCAGAAATAATTAAAATACATACAACCGAATTTTAAATCAGTTTAAAATATTTGTAAGTTGAATATCAGCGTGATGTCTGACGTCTCGTTTCATAGCTCCTGACCTATTTACATAATACACTGACACAGTACCACAGGAGAAGAAAACATTTAAAGTATATGTCACGTAAAGGGTTTGTTCGTCTGTCATATTTAATACCTATATATATTGACATGTTATGCTAATCGTATTCTAGTATACATGCCTGTGTCTGTGGCTGTGTCCGTGTCCGTGGAGGTCGTCTGTGTGGTGGGCGCGCCTCCTCCTGGTGGTCCACTGACCACGGTGAGGGTCACTCCGCTCACCATCACACCCGTGGCGCAGCTGACGGAGGCGCCGCTCGACACAGCCGTCGTCTACACCAGTAATGAATCATTATGAACCATGTACAAAGACATTCCATATACACTCTTATGATAAAACCTTCCCAGTAATACAAATTGAAAGTATAATTATAGTGAGGTAGTTGTATGTATCGCTCACAGTAATGACTGTAGTGGTGGTGGTGGTGACGGTGGTGGTCGGTAGTTCATGGTGCGCGGGCTGTGCTGGCTGGGCGGGCTGCGTCTCCGTGGCCGGCTGTCCGGGCGGGCTGGGCGTCCCGCTGGCGGACACGCTGCTCGCCATTGTCACGGTGCTCGACACGCTGACCGTCGACACGCTCACACCGCCGGTGCTCTGCGGGCTGGTCACGGTGATGGTGCTCGAGCTGGTGATGCACGAGCTCGAGCTGGAGCTCACCAAACTGGGGCAGGACACGTTCGAGGGGCTCGTGCTGCTCGTGTTGCTGGTGACCGGAGCTGGGGGAGCGGACGACGCGGGAGGAGGGGACGGCGGCAGGGGAGGGGTCCGCGCCATCTCAGCCCTGGAAGATAACACACCGTCAGGTATGGAATGTAATCAACATAAATGAAATGTTAAGTCACCATGTGTATGATGTTATGTCATCGTGTACATGAAACCACCGAGGTACCGGTGTAACACAACTACTGGATATATTATAATAGTTAACATTAATATTCCGCATCTCTTTATTCATTCGGGGTTGCCGCGGGGTAAATGGTTAACATAAAGAGTGGCGAATTGCGCTAATTATGTTTACACTACCTCCCCCCGCCACCCACGTCCACAGTTTCAACCTACCCCCTCCCCCTCCCTCGTCATCGCAGCTGTTTACCGCGGAATGTGGATACAGCTTTAATTAAGATTTACGACATAATTATGATATTATGATTAAAAATAAAAAAGCTAAATAATGAGGCACACATAGGCATGACAGTGCGGTGTGATTCGACACAGTCGATCGCATTTCAATTTGTAATGTCCAATAACTAAACATAATTGAACGTTTGTCTCTCGTTCGGTATTTGGCAATTAAAATGCTTCCATTTACGAGCCGTAATTAACAGTGGGGACGTTGTGCTAACAACGTACAACCCTACGAATGGATTAACCGGCTTTTAGACTGACGTTTTGCTTTGTGTTCAGAACGATACCGTTATTGAAAATGTTATGTTTATATTTCATTTATTACTTTTTTATATGATCCCTGTTAACGAATCTTTTTGATTCATTAAATGATAATTAATTAGAGAGTCGTTATGAAAATTTCCAAAGGATTAATTGGATAAGACGCCTTTCCAAAATATTATGTATCCGAGTGATACCTAGTTATAATTAAATTCTTTATCAATAAATTATATGATTATACCTATTTCTCTTATGGCATGAATTTTTCGATTGGTGAGCGTTTTTAATTAAGGCAATTAAAAAGATGGGCCGGTGCTGTTTGCGGAAAAATCTAAACAAGCCGTTATGAGGAAACGGCATAGTGGAAAGGGATGACTGGGGAGTCGATGAAATTAAATGTCGATGAATTCATCATGTTATGTAATTAAATTAACCTCTATGTGATGTACATTTACATTCGTCTTCATATATATTAATATATGTTTTTGTTGAGATTTCATAATAACAACAAACCCTCAAATCAAACGAAACTAGCAAGCAGATCTTTATTCATTAATAACACAATAAAGTCGATAGCTAGGCTCCATCCCGCGGGACTCCTCTTCAAATAATAACGTGAGTGATTGTCAACACACGCACGAATATCGCGCCATTATTATTCTATATTTTCTTACTCAAAACAACTCCCGCCCTCCCCATCTCCAGAGACATGAATTAATTATGCTTTTTTATTACACACACTAACATTGTACACACTGTACGTATATATGTATGTGTGTGTTTAGTATGTAGGTACATACTTATGTGGTTTACTATAACTAATTCGAATACGAGAAATGAATCGTCAAGAAACCTCTCGATAGAATCGAGTTTTGATTTCAAAAAGTGGCAAAACGGGTCGAGATTCCTGAAAAATTATAGAAACATTTATACAACAGACAGACAAGAGCTGTTCAAACAACTTGAGTGGATTGAACGGAGAATATGAATTACAAACGATTAATGTAAGTAAAAATGTTCGTGATCTCAAGTTCATAACTTCGAGTGAAGTCAAACAGACGTCCGAACAAAAAATATACGGCGCGGGCCATTTTAACATTTTATCAAGATTACATTTCATAGTACAAGTAGCGTTTTAATCAAATTATTATATATTTTGGTATCAACGTACCATTGGTTCTCAGCCATCGAACTGTATTCTCCTCGTAATAACTATATCAGAATGTCCTTCAACATACAAAGCTGAATGGTTCTATTTAACGAATCCTCTGAGCCGTTCATCTGTTAAGTTTCTATCGACGTATATTGTCATCTCGATAATTACAGTTTACTTTATGTATAACATGAACTAATAAATTATTATCCATTTATATATATTAATTATATATGACGGTAGATCATATTATTTTATTTACATGATATAAGAGATGACAATTGTTAATTATTAATTAATTAAATATTTTGTTTGTCTCAATACTTGGAATCGGCAAAAACTAAATGATTGAATATGAAATAAACATAATATGACACCATTTTGAAATTATAAAATCTCTTTGAATAAATATAAATATCATATTATTCAGCATATTAAATGAAACTGTTATAACAAAACATTAACGGCAGCTAAATCCCTGAACGTTATATGTATACCTACAACGTATAATCCGTACATACGAATTTAATACTATACCTGTTATAGTGTGGGATAATTAATTTATGGATATAACTGTTACCGCAGTTATCAACCGAATGATTTGCTAATTATGTTTGTGTTCATAGCTTTGTTCAGTCTAAGGTTCGATATACTATTTATAAGAAATCGTTTAAATTGAATTTATGTTACTGGATACATCCTATTCACCACAGCCTGAAATGTTAACAAAATTAAAACAGTTTGATAACCCAAACGAAATGTAAAAAAATCGCATAGAAGTATTACTTAAATATAACAGAAAAAATAAAAAAGGGGTATAAAAATTAGAACAAATAATAATAAAAATGTTTGCATTGAATAAAAGAATGAATCACTTGAGATACTCTTTTTAAACTTTTTTTTTTAAACTCGTATATTTATTTCAATAAACAATTATGACATTCGCAGTGGCTCGAAAGCAAAGACGAGATCATAGAGATAGTATATGATAGAGTGGACACAACGAAGCAAGTCATGAGGTCGAACGAGTGTTAAAAAATGAATTCATAAATATATTAATATATATTGATTATTAAAAACATTACATATGACAATCGTTACTATGACACCAATAAAAGTATCTTCTGTCAACGTGATGAAAGTTCGTCAATTCTATAATATATTAGCTCTGTGATCACAAATATATAACTCATTAGTATATACAGTATGAGTGACAGTAGTTTAAACGGACGTTCGCATACAACGATAAATATAGAAAAAATAAATAAATAAAATGATAAAGAAACAAAACATCCCACTCAGCATCTGGAACACCCTGTATAACATTCATCTACACTATGTATATACTAACCATAGATTAGAACGGACGTATCATCAATTTCAAATTCATTGAAGTACTTTTTTCAGTGAGAAATAATTCACATCAAAAGCTTTGGAAACTAAATAATTGTACTATCATAAATATAAGATTTTTATTATATTTATTAATTGATCATATCATGACATATATTACATCTATATTTTACAAATAATAATATGTATATATATATATTCTCAGTTCTCATATCTCTTTTATTCTCATTCATCTTCCAGAATCTTCAACCGACTAAGAACTAGTACAATCCCAAAAACATTTTGGATTATATCATAATAATCGAGTCACTTAAAACTTGCACATCAAATATATATTTTTAATTTCATTTATTTTGACGGTAAAATATATAAACCAGTTTTCGATTCATAACTTTCAATCTGACTTTAACTGAAGTATCAGCTAGTAATACAACAATATAGATCTGAAATATACAATCAAACACACAAACGGCGCTATGTAGCAAAAAGATGGACGACAATAATATGTAACAGATTTTTTTTAGCATAAAATAACAAACAACAACATTAAAATGCCTCTATAATAATAATTCCAATCATCTGTTTTCGATGGCATTTAAATTCTGCTAAGATACCATACATATCAGTCACATAACAATAATTCAAATGTTCGCAATAGCTTCATTAAATAACCCCGAAACAAAACGGCCGTAGTGAACAGGGAATGATCCTTGCATAACATTCAAGTTTTTCTGGCGTTTTCGTGACTGAATATGGAATAACGTTGTCGAACTCTAGTCTAGAACTACTCCTATACAAACCTCCATAAACTACGTAGTCAGTCAATCCCATGATAGATGGCGCTATGACACTAACAACTAGGAACGAGCGGGGAACGAATATACCGGCAGAGGGCGCTTACAACAATAACCAATAAATAGGTCAAGATGTCAAAAAAAGTAATCAAATTTCGATTTAACAAAAACTGAAAGTAACATCGTGTTGGAATATTCATTAACATAGACAATAGTTATTGGATTAAATGTTAAGTACGTTAATAACATGCAATTGATAGTGAATTAGACTAATACAGTTCAAGCAAAATATTGTTAATGTTTTAGGACGGCATACGAACAACAGTCAAATACGTAGAAACACCTAGATTAGATACCATATTTGACGAACATGATTCCCTAAGTTATAAAGTTATAATTAGAAAACATCCGCCTTTATTATTTAGTCCAAAAGCAGCCGTGACCGAAGACACTTAACCACAATTTTTTTTGAAGTTATTCTACGAGCCTGTAGTTTTTAACACAAGCATATAATTTTACGACATCGTTTGCAGTCAATAAACTGCAATTTTATAATTTTTTTTTTCCTTAATGACTATGACAACCACTATCTTATTGTCCATATCTTTTCATTATTAACACCATTGAATGATCAGGTGTGTATGAAAGTATGTAGTGTTTATGTGTGTATGTGTGAATGTTTGTACGTGTTTAGGTAGGTGAATGACCTGGCGGTCGCTGGGGCGGCGGGCGGCACCGGGATGCAGTTCACGGGCTCAGCCATCTCCTCCAGGCAAGACTCCTTCTCAGCGCCACGAGATCCTGAGATATAACACATAATATAATAAAAGAAGAAGAGTAGTGGCAAGAAACTCTTCAAGTTGTTGTTCTAATAATGAGGACGTTCCAAGAGAAGATCAGGGCCCTACACTAGAATATATCGAGACATTACTAAACAGTTTGGTGGCCGTATTACAGATAAGGCAGAATATATAATAACTAATTATTGTGATTGCATGCGATGTGTTACCTTGACTTCGCTGTAAGCGTGTAGTGACACCAGCCGGCAGCTCGGGCTCCGGAGCTGGCCTCGGGCGGGCGTGACGACGAGGACGAGGCTTGCGGAGTAACTGTTTGTAGTTTTCGGCCTTCTTTGACAAGTAGTAGAACCTGCAGAACGGAACTATATCAATCTGGGGCTATATTAACCTGATGATAATCTACAATTCCTATATTTGATTTCATTCAATACTTTCAACAACTTTAATTGTAATGTGGTACTTTGAAGAAATGTATCGTAGTCAATGAATTGTAAGAATATGCAGATAAAAAATCAATTGAGTATTATAAATAGTTCAATATCTTTGGTGATATCATTACTTTAATGATAAACAAAAGCCGTACCTGACACAATCACGAACGCTCTTCCTTGGCAGGAAGGATGCTATTTGTCCAAAGTTCTTGGGATGCTGCAGGTACTTCTCCCGGAACAGTTCTCTCTCAGCCGGAGTCCATACATTTCGTAGCTGGAGACCTTTATGCTCAGCCTCCATGTCCATACAGCGCTCTACAGAGGAACAATACACATTACTAATGACAATATCAATTTCCAGATAAAAAGATCAACTTCTAATGGAGTGTTAAGTTTAATATGTGGTCTATAATGCATACTTATGTTAATTATGTATCTGTTATTAATTATACATTATTATTATTACTAAAACGCTATGGACAAATAAAGCACAAATAAAAAATTGCCTTAAGTTAAGTCTATATCACTTTGTCGAAGCTGATGTCTATTTCAGTACATTAACAATGTTGTATTAATGAAAAAAAAATACTATCAATTTTATGAGATTTCAGTAAAAAGTGGTAGAATTATTAAATTATAAACTATCCCACTAATAATAGATTAATTACAAACAGTTCTTTATATGATTAATACTAAGTAACTTAAGAAATTTTTCAAACATTAAACAATTCAAGTAAGTTTTTGATCAAACTGGGATAAATAAAATTGGCTAAAACTTTTAAGACCATTTCCATTTGGAATGATAGTGTGTGGTTATTTACAGTCCATAGATGTATTGATGTTTGTTACTCATTCATACAAAAATAAAAAAAGTATAGTAAACTGACACAACAGAATAAGACATATACTCTAATTCACCCAAATTTAAGTGTAATTAATTAACAAGGTATCATGGTATACTACTTTTATTATGTGTGAATATTTTATGAAGACAATTCATATTGGAATGTCATTGATTGTTAATCTATTGTTTTATCTTACTTCATACATTCTCTCTGTTTAAATCGAAAGTCTACATGGACAAGATAGGAAAGGCTAGTTTTTTGTATGGTTATTATATATGGTGGTAGATACTGACTGTTGGTGTCAAGATGGTGGTGGTGGTGGTGATGTTGGTCGCGTGTTCTCAACAGCGGCGGTACCACCGTCAGGGAGCGCATCTTCTTGTCTTCGTGTTCTTGTTCATGGAGCCCGTCAGCTATCTCCTCCAATTCTGCTTCAGACTTCACTCGGGCCCCGAGCCTATTGAATCTCTCACGTTCTTCACGCTGTTTACGGAGCTCCGGAAATACCTGAGTGAGGACAGGATTGTTTTATAAAATGTTCTCATTTTTGCCATAAGCAATATGTAATAATAAATAAATATAATTAAAAATTTATCCCTACACCTAAATTCACATGCGTGTTCCACAAATTTATAATGTATGAACAGTTTTTAAATCTTTGTTTTAAAACCATCACTAGTACTCCCAGTATAATAGGCTTTTATTTGTCATATTTTAAAATCATCCTCATTTTCGACATTCATAAATCATTGAAAACTATTTGATCAAACAACTTTCAAACATTATTGTGTACTTTTCTTATATATGATGTATGACTGACCTTTTCAAAGAATTCTCTATTCCTGGCGTCTTTGGCCTTTCTCTTCTGTCCCATCTCCAAACGTTCCACTCTCCTCAGCCAGTCTGCAGCTCGTCGACTGTATTCTTCTGTGAGGGCATCTTCACGCTGTGAGAACAATAAACAATTAATATTACATATATCAATAGTTAGTATGCCCTTTAACTAACAATACCCTTGATAATACCGTATATACATTTGATTTTTATAAGACTGTTCACAGTATTTCCTTCTTTTGTTACTATGTAATGATTTCTAAGTGTAAACTGAGAAATATAATTTTTAATAATTATTGATAGTTTTTGTAATAAAATACTCATTTATGATATAATACATTTATTTTTCTTTGTTCCTAACTTCCAGAGGTTTAGTAATCACTAATCAACATATGTACAATGTTTATATTTTCTCTAATGTATAATAGATATGATCAAGTTGTATGCCAACTGTTCCAACCTTCTCTGTCTCGAGCCTGATCTTCCTGAGATGATCAGCGAGTCGTTTCCTGAAGGATCTGTGTCTTCTTATATTGTCGTGATAGACCTGTGTGTCTTGAGGCTGGTTGTACAGCGGGTAACTCACGGACGGACCCAGGTGAGAGAGCACAGCGTGCGCTGATGCAGCCTGGACATATAACAACATCATCAATAGAATTCATTTAACAATATCACACATTGCATTAGAAAAATTATTTCAATGAAAACTTGTCAAACACAAAAGTGAAGGCCCCGGAATATGCCTAATGTTGTTCATATGATTCTAATTTTGTGTACTTTCTACTGAATTTACCTTCAAATAGTTATATTTTAATTTATTAGATGTAGATTGCATTAAAATTACCTATTTGTATAACAAAAACATTATTTATGTAATAAAAAATAGTTAATAGCCAAACCTAAAGAAATACTATCTCGATTTAATCATTTCTGTATAAACTGTGTTCGGGCCTGCATCCTTTACTTCATAGGTAATTAGCAATTGATACTGTTTGATTAAGAAAAACTAAATTGTTAGATTGAACTTGTCGGTACATACATAAGTTGAAAAAAACATTCTCTTATAAACATTATTAAAAAACAATATTCACTTATAATATACTTATTGATGGAACATATCTCTGTTAAAAATATATGTGTAGTGTGTATGTACAAGAAACAAGTAATGGTATTTTATCTCTAGATTTATAAACAGAGTAAGGAATGTTGTTAATTGATTCAGAGTTCAGAGAGAATGTTTTAAATATTGTTCCGAACTGACTAAACGGCATGTTTGTAATGCAATATTCAATTGTATTTATTATGTATCTGTATCTGAGAATCATTATTAACTCCGCTACTGAGAGATAGGCTACGTCATAATATTTATAATAATAACACCCATAGCATGTAAGTCCAATCATATAAAAGTCCGGTATAGCATGTCTACCGCTGTGATATGTGATACTACACTAGTATTTTTGTATGTTGAATGTTATATTCACTGTCTTCCTGTATATTTATAATAAAACTCACTATAGCACAGTCCAAACATAATTTATAAGTACATATTGAACTGAACTTTTATCGGGTGTAGTATGATATGATTATTGTAGTATGTTATATTCACCCTCTTCCTGTTATCAGCGTATATGCACTGTGCCAGGCTCCTGTGTCGAGGAGGCGCCTCTTCCGGCTCCTCAGCGCGAGCTGGTTTGCTGGCGCTCTGTTCCAGTTCCTCCTGCTTCTTCTTCAGTTTCAACAGCGTCTGCTCCGACAGAGCCATCTCCCTGTCCACCTGATATACAACGTACGATCAGTAAAGTTGAATTTAAATAAAATGTTCACTTTCATTGAAATAAATGAAATTATTGAAATAACAGTGAGAGCAACCTGTTGCTTCTATGAAACAAGCATTGAAATATCGATTGAAAATATGGAAACCGAAGCGGAAGATATCGAGAACATCGTATCTTATATTCGATATAATAAATTATAAGTTGATGAAAACTTGATTTATAAAATGAAAAGGCGAGTGATCAGTTTTAATCAGTGAGCGTCACCTTCGATATTTGTTGCAGTAGGTCATCCTTGGTGGTGCGGAAGCTCTGGTCTTCGACCGTAGGCTCAGAGGGAGGGTTGGGAGACAGCACCTCCACGCTGTTGTTGTACGTGTTCATTACTGGCTCCTGGAAGTATAGAGAACTCGATGACGTGACAGTCGATACGATATCGTATAGTATAGTGTTAAGAGGGTTTAATAAATGTATGTAGTTAGTATATAAATGTAAGTAACTGACCCTGGTGTCGACCCGGAGCGGCTGGTGCGTGGCGGGTCGCTCAGCCGACAGCCTGATCTTCTTGAAGGGCGGCGGGTCCGGATGGTGTGCGGGCGCGGGCGGCGGCAGGTACGCAGACCCCAGGAGCGACATGCGCGCGCCCGCGCGGTACTCTCCCACCGCGCCGCCGCCGCCGCGGCTGTAACTGTCTCTAATCGACACAACAACAACATGCATTTTATTGACGTCCCTTACACACACACGCACTACTCGCTTATATAAACACGTATACATATATACGTATGAAAATGTAATCGATTTTCATAATTGCGCAGGTTTCATCCGTCTAATAAAAATCAAATGAGATATCGTCCTACTTTATCGAGGCATAGCTTTTCATAGACTGCAGGTCACTGAGGAACGAGGATTAAGAAAACGAACAATGCGACTCAAACAACTGAAGAAATGTTCTCCTTTGAGCTCTGTACTAGACTCGAAGGATAATTGAATCGAGATATTAATCTGTAGGAAGATGAAATGATGTTGTAATATGCGCACTTGCATTCGTCCTCGTATAGAGCCTTAATGAATTATTATCGACTTGTAGCTTGCGGAGCTATGACCTTCCAGAACTTTCTCTCGAATTAATCTGTTAAAAAGCTCTATAATCTTTACTGTACACCATATGGAGGTAATATACTTTATATGAATATATATATTTTTTTACATTAAAATTAATATAACTATTTGACATTTCTCTGAACTGGATTGCCATACTTCTAAGTTGACACATAACTAGCGTTATAATTAAATGAATACTAATGAAGCCATAGCATAAATGAAAAAATACTTCGTTTTATTTAAGGTGTGACGCATAAAAATACAAATTAAAATCTATGAAAAACCGCCACTGTTTTTTTCCAGAAGTTGTACAAATTATGGTAATTAATTCTTATTGTCATGTTGAAATAACACTATAAATTAATGATATGTGAGAAAAGATGCAACATATTGCAGTTTCAAACGGAACATTTTTAATTTCTACGGTATAATTTTCACCAATTTTGATAATCTGTGACGATGACATTGTTTATTGTCATTTCGAGTGTCAATGTTTTTTTCTTTATATATTTATTAAATTTACTCTTAACAAATGTTTTAGCGATACGAATGTATTATAATATAAATACAGAAGGCCAAGGTTACGACGTAGTGAGATGTTTGTATCACAACTCTTCCACGCTGACCAGCCCGCCCCCATAAGAATTTAAATTTCTTCATTTACATCGTAGGTATATTCTCAAAGGAATTCCTGCTTAGTCTATATATATAAAATCGTATGTGTGCCAAAACAATATAGGTCCGCACAGATGTCTGAATATGTTTACTTGAAATCAGGTGATTCCTTTTAATATACGTAATTGATTATATATTTCTTCTAAACCTGACTTATCTTTACATCAAAATCTAACAAACGGCTCTACCACCTATTTTTGTTGAAATGAATCTCGTTTCAAATACAAGAAAAAATCTAAGAACATATTGGTTTGATGTCTCTTTATGATTGTAAATGAAATAGTTAGTATAATATATTATATAATAAAATGCTATTATATGTTACGCGTTTATGAAATGGTCGTACAATAGGTAATTACATGTTATTATTCAATAATATATCAGTTTGTATATATGTGTGTGTGTGTATGTTTGTGTGACACATTATAGTCTGAATAGCTATAATTCTCATGTGTTGCGTCAGTAATCTATCTGGGTAGCCGGAGATATTCTGATTGTGGGAATGGGAAATATATTTGCATTGTTTGTTTCAGATGAAGTTGTGTAAAAAAAATGTTAGCAAAGACAGTAAAATACCATTTATAATGTGGTTTGTAAAGGATTTAATGTTATAGGCTAAGACTGGATTGAATTAAATTATTATGGTTGATTGCCAATACGAAAAAACTACAAAATTGGTGAGAGGAAGAGATCTCTTATATAAAATCAATTCACTCTTCGTATTCTCCTTTATGTATGTAATAATGTTATATTGGTCAATTGGCACCTTCTTAGTTCCAATCTGTGATAAATGGACATTGTCCTGTTTGACACGACATACATTGATATTACACGCACACACACACAAACATATATATTAGTATACGTGAGAGGGAGCGAGCCGATGTTAATATAATCCACGGTAGGTACAGTGTGTGTATGGTGTAGGCAGTAGGCAGTAGGCCTGTACCTGTATGATAGAGCGGCGGATCCATATCCGGGCTGGTGCACCCTTAGCTGAGCGGGCGGGTAGGGCGGCGCGTAGGGCGCGGCGGGTCGCGCCGGCGCCACGCCCGCCTGCTTCCCGCCGTACGCCAGTGCCCCGTGCCCGTGCTCTGTCTGTCCGGGCCTGGGTGGAACACGAGAACACTTGAGGCATTCCTTCACTACCACACAATCATCACGCTCACCTCCGTCTTGGCTGACAGAAGTGACGTCACAAACATTATACTATTTATAGTATGTATGCTATTTTAAATGATGTTCTTAAAGGTAACATGTATCATACGTCCGATGAGTCACTGGCTCGGAACGTGTCGAATGACTGGACTTTGAGGTTGATGGACTAAATAAATCCGTGCTAAGTAATAAAAGGCGGGTGTGGGGCCCCTATCACACGTATGTGTTATATAAAACAAAACAAGCCAACAAACACACACCAAGACATTAATTATAATGTCGTCCAAGAAATTACCTAATTAAAGATATTCACTTATCATTATATAATAGTTATCAGCGCATGTTTTAGTTTCTTACTTGGTAAAGGCAATAGCAATGTTATTGAATTGTAGTTTTTTGGGACCTTTGTTAATGACTGAATACCTTCTGAGTCACGACGTAACACTATTTGCCATGGTCCATAACAAATAGCTGTTGCTTGAAGGTCATACGAGTACTCAAGGATAATAACACCGTATTTACTGATTACGTTCAGTTGCAATATAATTTGCTTGTTAATTAATTTAATTCTAATACGTAATTCCCTCTTACTAATGAACACTACGGACCAAAAATGTACGAAATATCTGTATTAATTGCTCAGGACTGAGTCACGGGCAACGAAACTTTGAGTAAACAATTAGCGCTAAGTTAATAACTATATCCGTTAAAGAAACATCTTTGTTAGAAAAATCTTAATTAATAGATCGTTAGACGTCTTCATTTGTTACAAAAATAATCTGTAGTAACTATGTAGCTAACAGTATTAAGAGGCATCTCGTACGAAATATTCGACACTTTGTCATAGCGACGAATATTTAATGTGTTAATCTAGGGACCGAGCTAAGTGAATATATAATCACAGAGTACTTAATCGATCGATACATAACGTTCGAAGCAGAATACATAGAAAGCAAACTCTGTTAAGAAGATTTCACTCTAAAAATTATTCAATTCCTGCTCTAAACCTACGTACACTATAAGTAGCTTAGTTTTAACCATCGTATTTTAAGCCCACTCTAAACCTACGTACGTTTTAAGTAGCTTAGGTTTCTACCTATATATATATTGTTTGTTATATTAATAAATTCACATGCATCCAGCGCTCTCTTCTTGGAAACGATGATACACTAAGCTATTGAAATAATAACACTGTTTGAAACGTTGCCTTCATATAAAAATATTAATGATTTAAAGAACATCCACTTAGAGAGATTTCTGTATAATACCTAGTCTGTTCGAATATAGGAATATAATTCTAAGTGTAGTATCTTTTAAGTATAAGCTTATATTATGTAGCATTTAATTCTTAGTATCGTAACATAAAGTTGATAATGAAATAAATACGGCTTTTTTTGAATATAAAACTTGTTCACAATAAGGTGACTTAAAATTATGTATTCAATATATTCAAAATTTCTCAATTTTTAACGAAAAAATAGGTAGTTTTATTAGATGACAATGTTAATGATAATCAAGATCTTTCATAAATCAATATCAGGGTTGTTTTTTATATACATATATAATTATTCAGGGTCAGTCTTATTGTCCGTCAACGTTCACAGCTATATATAGGACCACCCACGATCACCTATTTGTGTACAGCTGAATTTTTTCTCAGTTTGCATATCAAAGGTGCCGAGTGAGCAATATCAGTCGATTCTATTTATGCAAACGCATGCAATATGTATGTACCTATATGTTTTAAGTTTCGTAACATACAAAAAGATTGATTAAATTAAATACAAGAATAATTTAATTATTTTGAAGGTTAAAAGTTTATTCGATATTTCTATAGACACATTCATAACTGTGAAAAGCTTTGGATCTATTTATCATTCGGATGTAATACATTATGTTAATGGATACTAATTAATTAACTTATAAAATTTAATTCCCTCGTACTGAGTGAAGTGAAGTTTCGTCTAAAGGAATCAAGTCCTAGTTCAAAAGACTTACATTGAGAAGTTTAGTTTTTGTGTTTGAAATCTCGTGTAATGTATTAACTAACTTCCTATGCTGATGTTCTAAACCAGACGTAAATAACTGAAGCAAACATTATTTGTATGGACTTTCTGATGTAGTTAGATCCTACTTAGACTGTATTACTGTGAAGTTTCATAAGTCCATCTAGAATTTTGAAGGATCTATTCATCTTATAGAATATTATGCTCCAAAATTATTAATATAAGTTTCTAAATGTTCCGAAGCATGAATTCTGAAAATGTATTAAGTTTATAATGTGTTATAAAACTAATTATTTGTATCTAAAATTTGGATAGTTTAACGAATAATAAGGTTTAGCAACCGAGACTTATTCTAAGATAAGAATTGGGTAAAATAAATCTGTCTAGGCACTACATAAACAATAACTACATGTATAATTTATTGATGTATTGTCGAAGATTATGTAATATCTACTATAAATGAATGAATTACCTAAGTGGTACCATCAGTTGACGCTAGCTTCTGACAGTTTCGAATATTTGTTTGTCTTTATCCGCATTTTCTGAAATGTTTCAAAGGATGTTGATGAATTTTTTTATTTACAAATAAGAATCATTAATTCATAAGGCATTGCGTTTTAAAATAAACGAATACATTGTCGCACTTAATATAATATATAACAGTTATTTTATTATTTAGACTTAATTAAAATTGGTATAATATAACATCAAATTACTGTTACATTACTTAATAAGGAACTTATTTTGTTGAATATTTATACGACCCTTGTATTCTGTTATCCGAACATGATTGTGTATCTTTAGAATAACCATAAGATGAACATAAACGAATTAATATAACTTGTCGCAGATGTTATGTAAAATAATATATATTAGTTCGTCACACGCGACGGTAATGTACGGACGAACAAAGTCACCGTCGATAACGTGACGGTGGCGACCGGGGAACCGAACCAGCGACCACAGGGCCGCGGACTGTGACAAGGTCGTGCGTGACTCATTACAGAACAATATGCACAGTACATAACGCTCGCTATGAAAAACATCATTACTTATATACGAATTTGAAATACGATAACAAAATAGGTATGAGATACAGTGACGGTGTCATCTAAATATATCTGCCGTTAGTCCATTAAAACGTGAACTAACAGATAATTCGACATGTGTCCAAAGAAGGGAACAGTGTCAGATCATGTTTAGCATACACCGGTCAAAGACCCGCATGCATTATGCATGCACGGATTGAGATAAGCTACCGACGAAATTAAAGCTAACCGGACGTTCACGTTATTGGACAGAACAAATAGATTCTAATTACGATTGTCCTTTGATCGTGACAAAGACACCGCTGACCGCTGTATACGAGTGCTTGGGTATCGTCGTAACTCAAAATACGACATTTCCATTTAGTTCGGTTTATTCTAATTTAAAGAACAGTCGATACCAGGCTCGGTCATTTGAATGTTTTTATTTATGATTCGCGGACCGTTAACGACCCGACAGAACAAACCAAATTCAAAACTACAGAATTCGTATTGGTCGTGTGCTAAATAAACATTATAGAAAAGTTTCGTTCCGAAGTTATCACCGATGAGTCCGTTAAGACGTATAGGAAGGTTGGTTTTCTAATATTCAAATGTAAAAGTTTTATAACGAGCGCGGAACTGGCCCGTCGGACTAATATATATTTAGATGTATGTAAATATTGACGGTAACTCCGTCAAGGGATTACGACTTCCTAGCATCCCGTGACATCAAAGAAACGGCCAAAATATAGCTACAACATCACGGGCTTGTTCCGACTAACTGTTATGTGTTTTTTCCGTTCCATTATAGCATTCCGAAATAACAGGAAATAAACAGCTGGGAACATGATAGCAGATGTTTAAAGCATTGTTACACGTTATCCATGCTATGGTATGCTATGGTGTGATGTGATGCGGCGTGGTAGAAGGAGGATTCTATTGTACGGACGAGCGAAGAACTCGGGCGGCGCGGGCGTGGAGTGCGTTAGTGTCTGAGTGCTCACAAAAATAAATACAACACTTTCTCATCTCGGTCACCTTTCAAACGACACTCATCTCATATGTCTGTCGTTCTAAACTGTATTCTAAGACGCGGGTGAATAAAGTTCATTAATTATTTGACGAGCGTGTACATTACGTCGTTTCGTTATTGCTCCGCGATGCGTCACAGCATGGCGAGCGGGTCATCGTGCTAAGCTGCTAGTCGCTAGTATAACAACTTTGTTGATCCGCTGTATGTATGTATGTATGACTACAGTCGTGCGCTGTTGCCAGCCAGTCGCGAAGGTCACTCACTCTACACGACACACGTTTGCATGTGTACGACCTCACACACACAGACACACGTCCACACACATTGAATACGTAGGATTTACCGCGTTTCTCTTGAACAGTTTATGATGTTGCGTATTTTTACATTAGTTGCATATAAATATTTGTTTGTTAGAGTGTATTTGTCCAATTGTCGAGTAGCGAGTGACGTCAATAGCATTTTAAGATACAAATGTGCCTTTGCTTCTAAATCTCATCTAAAACACTAAAAGACATAAACACGAGATTTTGTAACACGATTCTTGTATTCTCGTAAGGGGCTTGTAAGGTTCTAGAATTGTCTTTATGACAAGGTGACCTTGACGACTTGTTATTTGACTTGTAAAAGAGAGGTAATTAAAAATTTTAAGTTACGATATTATAGTAATATATAATTATTTTCATACAACTAAAACGTTATTCCATTGTTATAATTTGTAACAGCATGTGTCTATTTTTGTTAATTGCTAATATTGTCGAAGTATTTTTATCTACTACATACTACTATAGTATAATGTAAAACATTCGATTTACCACAATTAGCTTTAAAGAATCTGACTTAATTATTATAATTAACGTCGATTCCATGAACAAGTAATATGTTTGTACAAGATAATATTTTGTTATGATTCATTTGTATTGTGAAATTTACAGCGAAGCATTTTTTTCTGAATTGG